TATTTCCTAACTCGGCGGACAACAACGCGCCGCATAACTCGAGCTTAGGAATTGTTAAACCTTTTAGGGGCGCGATCCTAGATTTGGAACAAAGCAACTGTACATGATTATCTCCCCTCCCACTAGCAGAACGTACATAAACACATGACCCATACGCACTGGCAGACGCATCACAAAAAATATGAATTTCGATACTCAATGCATCCTTAAGCATCACATGTCTAGGTACTTCTATACAACTAAGGGAATTCATATTTCTTATGAAGTTATACCACAATTTCTTAATTTCATCATCTACGGGATCGTCCCATTCTAATTTACATAACCATAACCTTTGTAAGATTAATTTAGCCTTGACAACGAATATACTTAAAAGACCTAATGGGTCAAATATTTTTGCAATAGAAGACAATATATTACGTTTGGTAATTTTTTCGTGTTTATCTACTTGTACCGAGAATTTAAACATATCAGGTTGAGGTGACCATGTTAACCCTAAAGTACTGGTGACTGTTTTAAATTCTTTAAGTTCTTGTACTTCATTTAATTTATTTTCTACAAACAACTGATTTGCATTTGATCGGAACTTTCGCAAATTAAAACCAGCTGAACTTAAGATTTTAGTAATTAATCTACATATACTATTTAATCCTTCCTCTGTCTGATGACCTGTTAATAAATCGTCCATGAAAAAATCATGTTCAATGATCTTACCAATATCGGGATCTTCACACTCATGTGCTAGTTGCAAAAGGCAACGAGTACTTAAGTATGGCGCCGACGCGGTCCCATAGGTGATTGTATTTAATTTTAAATGTTTTACTGGTTCATGCTCGTTCTCCCTCCATAATATCATTTGCAAATGTCTTTGACTCTCAGAGATTAAAATTTGCCTATACATTTTTTCAATGTCTGCGGTCATTACATAATTATGTTGTCTAAACCTGAGCAAAATACTAAATAAGTCGTCCTGGATTACAGGTCCCACCATTTGTATGTCATTTAACGAATACCCGGTGCTAGATTTTTCTGAGGCATTAAATACAACTCGAAGCTTGGTTGTCTCACTCTTTTCTCGGATAACCGGGTGATGAGGTAAATAACATGCAAACGGGGGTTTGCCGCTTTCAGATAGGTGATTTAACTCATCATATTCATTTATAAAATCTACATACATATCCTTTATGCCAGGCTGTTTCTTCAACCTTTTTTCCAAATTAATTAAACGCGATTTAGCTTTTACAAAGGTGTCTCCTAGTACAGAAGGCGAAGTATGGAAGGGCATTTTTATACAAAATCTACCATTCTCTGTTCTATACATATTCTTTACAAAGTGTTTTTCACAAAATTCTTCTTCGGTACTACTCGGAATTTTATCTATACATATAACTTCTTCCACCTTCCAAAATTTCTCCAACTGGTCACTTACACCTCTCGCTAAATTACATTTTGCTTCAATTTTCGGTATACATAATATATCCACGGGACCCGTAACAAGCCAACCCAACTTAGAGCTCTGCAATGTGGGAAGACCCTTACCTAATTTTACTTGTTGACTGGTTACAAGTTCCCAAAACAAATCTGCTCCTATCAATATATCTACCTCAGAGGGCTCATAAAATCTGCTATCTGCTAAATCCACTAATATGTCGCCTGGAATATTCAATTTATCTACATTTACCTTTACACTTGGCAACATATTAGTAATTCTAGGTAAAATCATGCAATTAATTTCTACAGAAAAATTATTATGCATTGACTTTATTACAAAGTTACTACTTTCTACTAATTGCAATTTACTATTACCTATTCCGTTAATATTAAAATTATGATCAATTCGTTTGCAGGACAATCCTAATTTCTTACAAAAACTTTCCGTTACTAATGATAATTGACTTCCAGAATCTAACAATACGCGTGCGACATAATATTTATTCTTATTTTTGCTAAAAACTTTAACAAGCGCGGTCGACAAAAGAACATATTGACTCGCTACAGTTGATAAGGAAACCGGTTCCGCGCTCGGCGGCACATACTGCGTAGGCACAGCGCAGCTCGAGGCGACCGCCAATTCAGTTGGTGGCGGTTCGCATCCAGCGACTACTCCGACGGATGACGTCGAGTGTGACGTAACCTTAGTGACGGCTTGGGTAGAACTCACCTTCGTACTACTGTCTTCCGATTGAGGTCTATTTCTATGCAATAATGCGTTATGTTTATATTTACAAATCTTACAACCAAATGATTTGCAGTTATAGGCCCGGTGGCCTGGTTTAAAACAGTTGATACATAATTTATACTTAGAAACAACATCATTTCTTTCATCTAAACTCATAGAAATAAACCTCGTACATTCAAATAGGCGGTGTTCTTGATTACAAATAACGCAGTTATTATTAAAATTACGGTTGATATGCGGTTGTGAAGAAGCGACAAAAGTAGCGGCCCTCTCAGCTTTAATATTCAATTTACTTGGCCTCGACGCTTCTAGAACATCTGCTCGATCGCGTATAAACTTAAAAAACTCATCGAGGGTAGGAACCTCTCCTAATGAACTTTTGTGTTCCTCCCACCTTCTACTCGTTGCATGATCTAATTTATTCACTGCCAAATGGATAATAATTGTATCCCAATAATCTATGGGTTGGTCTAACGCCTTTAAACCTCTTAAATTTCTTGTTACATCATCAATCATTAAACGTAATGATTTATCAGACTCTTTACTTATGCTTTCTATATTAAATAATGACTTCATGTGATTGCTTATAAGAAGACGCTTATTATTATACCTATCGCATAATAAGTCCCACGCTACACGATAGTCATCAGAACTAAATGTTAAAGATTTTATAATCAAAGCGGAGCTACCCTCTAATGACGATCGCAAGTAATGGAACTTATTTATTGTTTCAATACAATCATTTTATGAATTAATGCCTCGAAAGTGTCTCTGTACTCTAACCAATGACTATAATTACCATCGAATGTTGGTAATTTAATTGTGGGTAATTTAATTGAACCAGAAAATGAACTTGCACTTTCGAAACTACCACTCTGCTTCATAGTTGGATGGGCCAGACTTTTCCTTCTAAGGTTGCTTTCTTCTATTTTCTCTAAAATACACTGGCCTTGCGAAATTAATGAATAAAATTGACCTTCAATCTCGGAACGTACTTTCATCTGTTCGTCCGGATTTTCCGATTCAATTTCAATTTCAGATTGTAAGTCATCGAAAGTGGAAAAACATGCTTCTAATTTGGATATTCTTAGCCTTAATTCGGAAATTTGCTGATCCGTTAATTTCTCTAATTTTTCTATATTATCGATGTATGTTTTAAACATCGTCAATCTACCCTTAATGTAGCTCCTCTTCTTGATCGGATCTGCAAGTTTCCTGGAGGCTTGAGACATTTTTAATTATACGACCTACGTTGTGTTAAATGCAGTTGGTTATGAGGAACTTTAACAATATTCTGCCAAGTATTCGCAACACGCGGCTCAAAGTAGTGGGTAGGAAGGAAAAAAATGGAACGGGCTCACCTCGCTATGGAAATTTCCTTTAGCTACTCTTTCTTTCCTGTGTCCTTGTACTTATTCCTTTCCTTTTTGCAATTTCCTTTTGTCTTTCAATTCCTCAATATTCCAAAATCCTGGTCACGGCACCATAATGTCTAGGCTTAGACCTTTCTGTGTGTGTTAGGTTCTTGATGATAGGAGCTTAAATGAATTACTCGAACACGAACTGTACTTGAGGTTTATTTGCCTTAACTTGGCACTTTACAACATTTCCTTAACTTTGGTATGACTTTAATTTATATAATACAATACTTAATTCAAAATTCAGGCGTAGACGTCGACGACCCCGGTGCACTCGCTTATATAGGGTACCGGTAGGTACCTACACGGTAAAGTGGGAGGTGGCGGCCGTGGTGGCGGTTGTGCGTCCCGCACCCCGCACTCGTGCGCGTTAACAGATGCTTTTCTGCTGTAGGTATCATATTTCGATGTAATTCACTCAACATTTCCATCACAAGATTGCTGTCATCACGTCATGAATAAATAAATTGTCTATAATAAGATTAAGGTATATTATAACTGTTATTTCTTTACCTTCAGTTCTAACAATGTGCAGCGGTTAGGTAAATAACTCTATAATCATCATATTAGCAGAAGTACCTGGATGACCGATCTAAGCTCGGTATTTGCTTTTATATTTTCCAAATATGAACTCAAGCTAGATTTATCGCCCCTTGAAGACCCTTGTATACAAGTTTATGAAATTTGGCGGAGCCGTTTCAGAGATTTAGATTATATGCATTGCATACTAACAAAACAATTGCTCGTTTAAACGATATAAGATAAGCACATTTGTTTTATTCTGCATTGTTACTAAAACAACCATAAATTAAGTTTATATGTATAAAAAAATGTGAGGTTAAATAAAACATTTTATGTTTTGTATTTTTTGTTCATAAGACAAAAGACTAAGATGAAGAAAAATCTGCTAGTGATAGCATATTATGTACATCTATCAATGTATAACGTGTTCAATATCATCGTAGCCACGACGTTTGTAATATAAGAGTGTAATATATAAAATAAAAGCATTACCTTTCCCATCTTTTAATTGTGATTAAATCAATTCTGTTAGCATGTTCATAAAGTCCTTCAACAAATATCTATGCTTCGGAACTACATAGGTATGGCCTATTTGTAATGGTGTGGGTGAGAGGACACGGTGTCTGCCTAGGGCTTAAGACAAAGCTCTATAAAAGTCTATAGCCCAAGCCTCTCGGTAAAGGCCCATACTTATGAACACTCTAAACAAAAAAGAATATTTCGCAATAAATGAATACCTAAGTATCCGAAAGAAGCTTCTACGTTCTTGACAACATATTAAAAAAAACATCAAACAGACTGAAGACTTTGAAACTTTTAAAATATACATACATATTTAATGAAAGGAATGTATTTTTAAAAGCCTATCTCTCTTGTTACAGGACAAATTGCTCAATAAACTGGAAGAAAATGAACCAGAACTCGCCTCTTCGCCTGATGAGGAAGTAAGTTCATAAAGTAATAAGTTATTTAGAACGAAATACTCAAACGCTACTCGAGCTTAACGTGATCTGTGGAGAGTTTCCGCTGCGGCCATATTTGAAACTCGATGGTAAAGAAAGGAAGAAAGGTTTACATACATAGAGGTTTTAGGTAATTGAATAAAAAAAAGATTTTGTTTTTATACACACGCGCATAAAAAGTATGAAAGGATAAAATGATACCTACTTAATATAATAAACAGAGGCCATTAAAGTTTGGAATAACACATAGGCTTTTTATTTTAATCCTGATGCGAGAAAAAAGCCGCTGACAGAAGATTGTGAAAGAGATCTAATTTGCAGGCATTATACTTACTTAAACATCGTAGTATCAAAATACTTTGTTTGGTTATAAAAATTGAAAGTAAAAATATTAATAAGTAGGAAGAATAAAGGATAAACGCTGCCTATCATTTCTAAGAATAATCCTCATCACATGACGTGATGTAAGTGACCAAAACCAGTAAAGAACCTGACAGAACACCTAGAGACAAAACAAACATAAAAATACAAAGTATACATAATATTTTCTCATTCCGCTAGAACGAAGTTCATTAATGCAGCGAGGATTAAGGCGGAATTAGCAGTATTTTCGGGTTTCATTAACTTTTTAATTCCATGGCGGGTTTTCTGTGGCGTGGCGTAATATTTTCACATTTTTGTTTACGCTGCGTCCCTGGCTTACTTCCTATGTATCGCAATGCGCCATTCTGGATAACTTACTACATACACAGACATAGGGGTACTTTATCTACATAATATATAGCTACACATATTTAGTTGACATACAAAAATCCATGGTACCCACCGCGTTCGTCGAGTTTTTCTAAATTCTCATTAATGTAGAGTGTAGTGTAAGTTTGATTTACGTAAAACGATCGCTTTGAAAGGATCCCAGTTGACCTGTATGTTACCGCAAATCCTGCATCGCGCAAGTGAAAGTTGTGTGGGATTAAACATGGAAAGAAAATACATATCACCACGCTTAGTCGAATGTCCCTCTGCTCTGTTCCCTAAAAACCAATCAGAGGCGAGTTTATGTTAATGCCATGCCAGCATGTTTATGACGTACGGCGCTCTGGTGGACCCAATACACACAGCAATTTAACCAACCAATAAGAGAATTAAACTTGGACCCGTTTCGATACGTCATCTTCTTATATAAAAAGGAATTGTTGTTCGCTAAAACTCGAGAACGTCTTGACCAATTTGAGTAATTTTGGTCTCAAAATGTTCGTTGAAGTCTAGGGAAGGTTTGAAAGGTCAGAACATTGGTAATATTTGAGACGGTACAAAGATTTCCGGGTCAGCGAGTCGTAAATAAAACTAATATAAAAACATTTGTTTATTTTTATCCTTGACCAAATAGGGTTAACGAATACTTACAATATCTTCTTACATGGAACTTACCTAATATAGTAGGAGTTTACCTGATGTATGTAGTATCTATTAAAAAAGTTACCTAATTTAAAGTAGGTAGTGTTACCTACTAGTGGGTTACGTAGCCATTAGATACTGTCTTGGCAGGATACTTAGATCTGTCTGTTAATCAGTATAAAGTGTTTTCAGACAATAAAAACCAGTCGGTCTTAGTGTAAACTTAAGTAATCTAATCGGAAATTAAGTGAAAGCTTGAAACGGTGTAAACAAATTCTGATTCCGACGACCAATCTGCAAACAGCTGACGATCAACCTTGACGCTGTACAAGATATTAGAATGACTCCAGTCGCTAATTGTGTAATTATTTTATTTCTTTACAGTTTTATAATGTAATTTATTTAAATTAAATTATTAATTAAGTCAGGTAATTTGGTCGTTAATGGTCTGCGTAAGCAAAATTTATCTAGAAGGATGTTGGGTTTCATTTCCATGTCGGACACCGTAATTTAGAAACATGTTAAAAAAACACTGTGTTCTAAAAACTATACGGAAAGAATGATTATGTAGGTTATTGTACCTACCTACATAATCATTCTTTCCGTATAGTTTGTTTTTTTGTTTTTTGGACTTTTGTCACACAAAAGTCCAAAACCGATATTCCACAACTAGTTCTTGTGTGTAAATCCAAACTAATATTATAAATGCGAAAGTAACTCTGTCTGTCTATCATATCTTCACGCATAAACTTCTGAAACGATTTCTGTGAAATTTGGTACAGACATATGTAGTTTAGAACTCGAGGAAGGACATTGAATAGTTTTTATACCAAAAATCTGCAGGAAGTCATTATTCCACGCGAACGAAGTCGCGGGCAAAAGCTAGTAGGTACCTAATAATTGTCATTCTAAAAAACATTTAAAATTACACCTACCCACCTCAAGCTACCACCATTGACATTCGAAATCATTTGTTTAACTGCACAGTTCGGTTGGGCAACTGATTATTGCACAAAGTAATGCGGGTTCGATTCCTGCATGGAACATTCGACCAATTGTTGTTCCGGGTCTGGGTGTACCTAATGTATATGTACCTATATTTGTAAGTGCATCCACGAAACAGGAACCAATTCTAGTGTGAGATAATGTTATTCAAATAATAAAAAGTTAACCGCACGGTCGACCCTGGTTCAGTGGCTGGGCAACTGGTTGTCGTATAACATAACGCGGGTTCGATTCCCGCACGTAACAACTCTTTGCGTGATCTACACATTGATGTTCCGAGCCCGACTGAAGGTAATATGTGACCGTCATTGTTAACTCACTCGCGACTCAAGCAAAAATCGTACTGTGAAGCAACGTTTTTAAAAGGAAACTTATGAACTTTGAAGGTGGGGCTTATTAACGACATAATTTATTGTTTCCAGTGTGTAATATGTGTGAACGCGAAGGCGACGATGCAGACGTCGCCGTGTGGGCACAGAGTGGTGTGCCGGCGATGCTTCGTAAAGACCATACAGATGGCAGTCAGCCAACGCCTGCTACCGCTGCGCTGCGTCATCTGCCGCGCCAAGATCCTTCGGCTAAGGCAGGCACCGCGGCTTGTTACCAGCAAGAGTTGGCAGGTGAGATCAATCAAAACTTAGTCATATAGTGCGGAATACCATGCTTCAGCACAAATAGATCGGCTTAAAACGGTCTCTCAGAAAACCGACGTGAAACTACCACAGCGTTTTGTTTCGCTGTGTATGTGAGGTTACCGGAGGCCCATTCCTATTCCCATTTCTGGTGTAAATGCGCGCTAATTGCTTACCATCAGATAATCAGCAAGCTCGTTTGCCTTCCTATCACTTAAAAAAACCATAACTACAGATTTATTTAACTATTTGTTATACCTACCTGCATACAGCACTTAAATCATTGGTCTACTGGTCACCAATTTACATGCCGAGCAAAGGGCATCCGATTTCCGGGTCGAACAAAGCAACTAAGCATCATAGGTAGGTACTAGGTTACTAACTGAAGGGGTTTTACGGTGCTTTGAAAATTCTCGTAGAAGCATAAGAGTTGAAAATTCTGTCGTGGCCATGGCGCAGTTAGGTACCTGCATAGGACTCATTTAAACTGATGTTACTTAATTGGGCGTTACTTTAGGTCCAATAAAATTTTATTTTATTTAGGTATTTCGTTTTCTTCGGTTATTCCTTCTATATTTTCTTATTTGTATACCCCTTAAATTCCAGGTGTCGAGTGGCAGCGCGAAGTCGTGGGGAGTGCCAGGCTCTGTGTCCAGTTACTCAGTGGGAGCTCGCTCCGTGCCCGCCTCAGCATCACTCTACTCCGTCACCAGCGGCGAGTCTTCCCTTTCAGGTACTTTCACTTAATATCTTTCTTTCGTACCTACTTTTACTGGATCTGTAATTTACGCATACGCCGCGCATCGAACGGGCCTTCGTGCATTTGTCGTACATCGCAGCAGTAGACCGCGTCGTCGCACAGACAAAAGCAAACATAATTATGAGCATTATGAGCAGCAAAAAAAAATTACAATTCATCTTACAATGAAATGCTAAAACTTTTTCACAGCTGCTTTTTAGTCTCAGAACGTCCAATTCCTGCATATATCACCCACAGGCGGTCAAAAAATAATGAATCGCCAAATAAAGTATCTTCTTTCAATACCTATTGAAGCACAATGTTCACACATTACTGGTATCTGGTTCCAGGAGTGTCTTCCGTGTCATCAAACAGCGGAGGCAACGTCCCGAATAGCTGTTCGACGAAGTTATGTGGAGGAGCCAAGTGTGGAGGTGCATGCCTGGGCGCGGTGCCGAGAGCACCAGTGCCACCACGTCCGCGACAACCTGCCTCTAACTCGCTAAGACGTTCGCAACATCATAGTATGAAGGTGGGACCTGCACGTTAGAAATCACTCCTCGAAACATATATTACCTAACTTCGCCTTAAACCGGTGGAGGCCGATCATCCGCTCCAGATGTTACCCCGATGCTGACCACAATCCTCATGTGGTCAGCATCGACTATAAGAAGATTACCTAGCTAGAAAACATCATAACATTAGGTAAAGGTAACACCAGTAATGTTTCATATAAAAAAGGACTACAGCGGAACTCGGGAGGCGCCATATTCACAAGTCACGCTTGCTATTAGCAACTAGATTTAATTTTTGAAGGACTGATTTACTTGCCTGGACGGTTGGCGCAGTGGCTAGGCAACTGGCTGCCGCGCAACGTGTAGCGAGATCGATTCCCGCACGGAACAACTCTTTATGTGATCCACAAATTGTTGTTTCGGGTCTGGGTGTGATGTGTAATGTGAAATTGTATGTTTGTAAACGCAACCACGACACAGGTGCAAATAATATCGCGGGTCAACGTTTTTCTTAGAAAAAAATCCAAATAAATATAGAATATTTGTTTCCTTACAGGCCCGGTTACAAGATTATCAAGTCCATAGCTACACGGGAGGACCTACGGCTGGGGAGCCCTCGGGCCGCCTGCCACCCATAAGAGAGTTCCAGAGGGAATTCCGCGAGGGACGAAGAGAGAGTGCCGCTGCTGCCTCCGCCTCCACTAGAATTAGGTAGTTGTAGATAACGTGTAAGTATCTTTAGGAGGTTGTAAAACCTCCTAAAGATACTTACACGTTATCTTATTAGTTGACCTAAGTCGATAATAAAATAGATTAAAGATAAAAATGTTAATTAACTGCTTCGAATGTTATTTATATGAATCGATTTTCTACGTTACAGGTGTGCCCAGAAAATTGTAACGCAACTAGAAACGTCGCCACAAACGGATAAGCAACATTTCTTCCGGCCACTAAAACCTTCAAATAAAGATGACCCGCCTGATTCCAGAGATCACAGCAAAGAGACTGAACGGAAAAAAGATAACCCCAAATCAAAACCCAAAAAAGAGGACAAAAAGAAAAAAGATGATGAAAACACAAAACAAGAAGACAAAAATAAAAAAGATGAAAGTAGTGACAATAGGAAAAATGAATTAGCAGAAAAGAAAAAGGAAGAAAAGATGAGACTTAAGGCGGAGAAGGAGGCAAAGAAAGAAGCAAAGCTTCAAGCTAAAGAAGAAGAGAGACAAGCTAAACTGTTAGCCAAGGAAGAGGAGAAACAAGCCAAACTAAGAGCGAAGGAAGAAAAGAAAAAGGCCAAAAAAGAAGCAAAGCTCGCCGCGCAAGCTGAGAAAGAGAAAAACAAATAGAGTTATAACGTTTAAATTTTACATTGTAGAAACTCGTAGCCGTCTTAAATTTTAGATTTGAAAATTGTTATCATTGAGGAATCGTAAAACAATTTTAAATAGCGTATTCTAACAGTCTATTGTAGTCCATTACGTACGGTAAAGTAGATACTGTTAGTTTAAATTTTATTTTTTTACTTCGATCGGATGATGATTGTGTTTACGCTTTGATACTGATTTTTACAATTTTGTTAATAATTATCTAGCTTAGTTGCAATTTCTAATCGAAATTGTTGTTTAACTTAGGAATGTTGTAAATATTTTTAAAGTCAAAAATGTTATTATGAGAAGCAATCTAAGTACATAGTTGTTGGGTCATAATTGGAACTCTACAAACTGCGAAGACTGAAAGAACGGGATAATGAAATCATATCGTTTTGTAATTTAATTGTGTAACAGTATAGTTAAGAGCTTCGTGCAAACCGCACCGCCGAAGAATTTATTTATTACATATTTATGTAGATTTCGTCGTTATTAGTTCGTCCGTAGGAAAAGCTTATAATATAATTAGATAACTAATTTCAGCATGAGTACATTTCTTTACCACCGACCTTCAAGAAATATTGTTTGAAAATGCTAATAAAGATATGATTTTCGTAACATCAACTCTTGAACGATCCTAAACCTTTTTGACAAACTACTCAACTTCATCTATTCAGATACCTACAATAATTTTCCTAAATAAATCTGCCTAAGTCCTTCCTATTTCTACAGAATACGACCACAGTAACGATTCCAAAATATTATGAATAAAATAAAGTAGCATCATATCAGGCATTTAGCATACTGCTAGGTAAGTGTTGACATTAATTTTGTAAGGGTTCCACAAGTCGGAATTTATTATTGTCAATCGTTAGAAATTTCCTGTAAAATAAATAACAATGTTACCATATGTCTTACTCTTTTATTTTTACCCAAAACATCTTAATAATACAACTATTGCACTACTTTAAAGACATTTGTGGGTGTAAAACATTTGTGTATGTAAATAAATAACAGAAAAATCATTTACAAAAGGTGACACAGATTATAACACTGCATGTGTTGCCAGACATAATCATTTCTTTGCTCAAATAAAATTGTTATTAAAAACAACTAATAGTTTATTTATCTACATTGAAATATTTAACAATACACTGGATTACTAGTATATACTAAAGTCATTGAAGTTTTCAAAAAGAAAATTTTATTCCTTGAAATCGTCACCGACACGGTCATACATTTCCTCACCAGTCTTCTTATTGATGCGATGGTATTTGTTGATCATAGGTTTGTAGTAGTAGGCCTGGTAGTCGTGGCGTTCACTCATCTTCTTTACAATTTCCTTCTCCAACTTACGTATCTTTTGTTTTTGTTTTTCTTCATCAAGGAAGTGGAGGAACTTTTCGTAGTCCTGTAACAATACATGATATGTTTCAAGAAATATTCAGCAGAATGCTTCATTTTCCTAAAGAGTTATACTCGTATTTCATAAACATTAGATAAAAAGTGCCACAATGAGGGTGCCATCAATCCTGTACAGATACAGAGAACATTAAGTTGCAAATATCCTAGATGGACACAAATCAGAAAGGATTACTGTGATATACCTACAAGACTAGACAATTCGGAGGATAATTTAGTATTAGTTATACTTCATACCAGGTGCATAAATAATATTTATATTATTGTAGACATTTCATCTATTTGTTGACTTGTGGGAAAACAAGGAACAAGCTCCGAAGAACTGACTGCCAGCAGAATTAAACGAAGGCAAATCCTTGGCTAAAATTAATGTGCTAAAACCACATTATATAAATCTGTATCCAGACAGCAAGAGAAATATACATATGAAATTACTATACAATAAATAAATCAAACACAAATAACTAGTCAATATTAAAATTTTTAAATCTTTAGCCTGCCACCACCAGATACACAATAAAAAATTAATTGTGTCTGGGTTAGATCTGAGCTTCATGATATTGTGGGTGTATGCAAAGAACTTACCACCTCCAAATTTATGTTGGTACCCTACCTGGCAATGAAAAATCTACACTAATTAATATTTCGGTCAAAACAGATTATAAGACAATACGATTCAAAGGATGTTTCTCTTATGGTAAGTCTAAATAAACTGTATTTTAGTAAATTGGCGTTCTAGGGATTGTTGATTTCATAACATGTGTTCTACATTCAAAGTCATCTAATATTATTGTGGCTAACTGCTTTATTGGAAAAGTAATTTCAAAAAGAATGACTACCAATCAAATTCTTTAAAAATCATTAAAAGTACCAATGAGGTTTTTTGTGTGGGGGATAAACTTATTGGTGGCTCACACATACATGTGGCAATAACCATAACTATCACATGATGCACTACAAACCAGAAACCTGAAATGTAATTGTAGCTAAACTTTTGTCCCATGATGCCAGACATCCAGACATTGTAGGTCTTTAGACTTTAAAAACATTATGTCATATATAGATCTATCTTTAGTAGCAAAACTTTGAAAGTTATTAGTAACAAAAAAAAAACTCAGAAGCAGCAAAACCAGCTCAGTAACCTTTAACTTACAACATAGAGTTTAAATTAAGGTATGAATAAAAATATCATCAGCCTATAAGTACCCACTGATGAGCAAAGGCCTCTTCTCACAAAGAGTAGAGTTGAGCATTAGATCACCACGCATGCTCAAGGCAATTTTAAACTTCAATTTAGAAATGATAAGTCTAGTCTTCACGATGTTTCCCTTCGCCATATAGCAGTGGTGTCTAAATTATCATAGAAAGTACATATAACTAAGAAAACATCTCATTGGTACTTGCCAGGTTATGAACCCGCATCCTCCGAGAAGCGAGTGCTTTAATCTCAACAATATTAAAAAAATATATAAATACTGAATAATTTCTAAAATCTCTAAATAATTAAGATTCAAATTTTTTCATTTCTTCAAGAATTTTTAAGAATTCGAATTTTGACAAAACTGGTATGAAATGAAATGAAAACCAAGTAGGTAAAAATAACATAAAACTCTGCAGATGGTATTGATGCATATGTTAAGAGAGGTTGTGACCACAAATTAAATTGAAAACAAAAATGAATAAAACAAATAATTAAACAACTCGTAATGGGCACATTACCTCTTGAGGGCTTTGATGAATGTATCTGGCGATAAATCTTGTTATTGGGTGGCGGTGGTACTCCCAATGTTTAGGCTCATATCCTTCGGGGATAGGAGTCAGCTGAGCTGGCCCGATGAACACGTTGGTGTAGAAGATGATAGCACCTACTGGTATCAAGCCCAGCATGGCGTAGAAGTGGAACATATCCTTGAATTTGTGCCATTGCCACCTGACAAGCAAATGTTTAGGTTAGGAAACAAATACAATGTAAATTTACAGCAAATATCCACTAAAATTCTACGGTTTACTTTACTTCAGTGTGAACTTTTAGCTATCCTGTAATTTTATAAAAATAACAAACAATAGCACAAAAAATCGGTTAGGTAATCACTGAAAACCATCATTACCTAGAAGGTTGTAGGACGAATGTTTTGTGTTCATGGGAACCTTTCAAGGCTTTGGATGTAGTAAAGGATACATTTTGGACACTATATGGTGTTTTGACTTGGTTTTTAATCAAATTCAAGCCGAAAGATCGGCCTAATGCACTCCAAGACACCATTTTTTCGAAGACTATTTTGACAATCAAATGTCAAATCTGTCTTCTAGGCTCAATCTGTCAGTCGATCAATGGGTGACATAATAAAAATCATTCGAGGAAAACCGAAACATATTATGATTGAATCGTAAAGTTTAAAATAAACACCAAAAATAAAGGATTTCAAGGATAGAATTGCCTGCATTTAAAAAATACTAATTAAATTTTTAGATAACATTTTTGGAAGTATCACGAAAGTATCCTGATTTGTTTTTACTCCAGTTACTCTATGGTTAACGCACTTAACAAAGTGTCAGCACATCAAAGGCGCGTAATTTGAAACAAGTTTTATTTTGTAAAAATATGAGATCGGTATACGTATTCTATAATCTACATTATTTTAATCATCATTTTGATTCAAATGATAACAAAAAATATATGGAGATACCAAAAACTTTAAATTTCATCTAAAATTGGCGCCATCCAAATAATCTGATACATTGTCATAATGCAGGTAACTGCAAAGTTTTGGTAAGTTTACTTATTAAGAGTATCGTTCATACTTGCATTTAATAAAAATCACTTAGAAATTACATCATTAGAAGTTATTTACAAATTGAAATGTTTTTTTTAGAAATATATTTATCATCTACCTTACTTTCTAGGTTTATTTCTATAGTGATCCATAAAATATTCCCTACTTACACTTTACTACTAAATCTAGGCATTTTAAAAGCATAATAAATCCCATAACATATAAGAACTGTAAACTAATTACACTGCAAGTACCTACTATTTATAACGTAAATACCTTGCTAGCTACAAAAATAAAGTATGAAGAAAACGAATTACGAAGTACTTAGGTACAGATAAGTTGATTATTAAGTACTACGTTAATCTTACGTTTATAAATATAAAACAACCACCTGTTGACAAAGTTTTTTCAGCAAACACAGAACCGTATGGAAGTATTGATTTCCCGCACTGGGCATGCTCCGTCGCCGTGCTTACGTACAACTCAGATAAGATACACTTCCACCCACTCAAATAACGTTATTTCCCTACATTGCACGATTTATAAACATTTTACCATTTAATTGTGAATTTTAAGTAACTTGTAGTAAAGTTTAATATATTTGTGAAGGATGTGAATATTTTTGTGGTAAGGCAAGTGATAAACGTTCATATGTTGTCGTCGTGTTAAAATGGAGGAACTTCTCCAGGACATATATAAGGAAGCATCTGGAGTGAAGTTTACAGGGTTGAGGAAATCATGTCAGGATGCCCTAGGTAATTAGTTTATAAGAATAATTTCACTGCTTACATACAATATACATATAAGTACTTTTTGTTTGATGTTACGTATATTTTGCCTTCTATGCAGTTGAATACTTAAATCGATACTATACTGCAATAACGACCGCCACTGCGCCCATCGGAAATGCAGTTTCAATCCCTTTTATGCTTTTCATAAGCTTTAGTAAAGTTAATGCTTAAAGGTATATAGGGTATAAGCCAAGATTAATTTACGAAGCTAAGCAACATATGGTTTAATTCGTATTCAGTACTAACAAACAGTACCTAAATTTTTATTAGATAAGATACTCATGATTCATGAATGTATGAATCCACTTTTTATGTCCTGTTGATTTTGTTACCTTTTGGCATTTGTTGGGTTTTATAAGCCACCAAACAGCTAAATTACTGCTCTTCAGACTAATACAGTTCGGAACAATGATAAAGTAAATACCTTTATTGGTAAAATAGTTTACATTTCAATTGGCTTTTAATATGTAGCTTTACTAATTACTTATAAAAAACGGACCAAAAATACTTCCTTAAGGTACACCGTGAAATGAGGAATATTTTTTATTACTTTCCTTGGACATAAAAAATCTCAAATCATTTGGTGTTGTGATTTTCTTTAGGATTTGGATAGGTAGATAAACAATGTTTACTATAACTTTGTAGAGAGCTATAGTTTGGAGTTCCTAAAACATAATAAGTAGGTATTTAACAAAAATAATAATAATTCGTAACCACATGGCGTCCTGATTCAACACTTTTACTTTAGTTCGTTGTCTGTACCGTTAAAAACGAAAAATACGAACATTTATAACTACGATTGATTACAAGATTTCTCACATCACAAACTTTGTACTTTTAAAGATAAATAGCTATACTTTAAAAATATCAGTACGGTGGCGTTGCGACGTTTACGATGATCATGTAGCGCACATTTTTATCATTTTTATAGACGACAAGAGACGTCATCACAACATAACCAATTAGACCTTATTCTATACAGAGTTACTATGCATGCAAGAGAACAACGCGCGTCGTGCGTCGTACGAGCTGCGGCGAGCGTGCCTCCTGCCGCTGCAAACGGCGCTGGAGACCAAGCGGCCGCGCCTCGTGACGTACGCCCTTCAGGGGTTCCATGTACGTATTGCTTTAATAATAAGTATTTTCATTCTTTTTTACTGGCCTATTACTTCCCACTCCTGGGCAAAGGCCTCCCCATCTCGCTTTCGATCTTTCGACCTACACACCGACACCTTCCCATCTTTCGACCGTGTCCACCAGTCTCGACGATAGTCGTTTAGATCGTCTCGCCAAGTTTTTTCATTGACAACATAATTACTTAATCCTTCAGTTTTAACACACATGGGAGAGCCATGCTTCGCCACGGATGCATCGGCGCGACCGGAGTGATAGGTACCACGGTCTCACAGAAAACTGGCGTGCAATAACCGCAGCGTTGTGTTTCACCGTGTGAGTCAGGTTACCAGAGGCCCAATCCTTTCCCTCCCCCTAATATCTAAATCCCCAAAAGGTCGGCGACGCACTCATAACTCCTTCATTGCGGGTGTCCGTGAGCTGCGCTGATTGCTTATCACCAGGTAATCCGTAGGCTCGTTTGTCGGCAATATCATGAAAAAAAACTTTTAACTTTAATGAATGAAACAATTTAACTGTAATACCTCTGCACCGTATGCTACAATACAGGACTCCATGGCTCTTCTCTTAAGTAGGTACTCATGTTTTCTATCACAGTTTGATTTCGTATATGTTGCAGAAAATACTCCGAGATGACAGGTTCCATCGAGGCATCGAGCCGGAAGATGACTCTCTGTGGATGCCTTCGCAACTTCTCTGTGCCACCGCTTCTGTCATGTATCAGTTGCCAGATACTCAGGTAAGAGAAAGTGAAGTACTTATCTAACATGTATTGTCTAGGTCTTTTAACCTAAAAGACCTAGACAATCTACCTTCAGTAAGGAATCTAATAAATAATTAAGTAAATAAAAATAAACTTGGATAAAACCTTTTTTTCCGTGAGGATGATTTATGAATCCTTTGGATGCGTTTGTTCGTTATCGTTATTTTAAATGTTTCAGGTGGCTTCTTTCAGTTTTTAATTTCTATATTTCTAACAGTGTTGTAAACGATATAACTGGGTGTATAGATAGACGCAAAAGAGGGGTGAATAGATACAAGGAAAAATCACCAACATTTATTCACCCATTTTCTGTATGTATTCACTCCTCAAATTCTATTCACCCCGTTTTAAGTTACCTACTGAAGTTTCTTCTTTATCCCTGAAAATTGTGTTACACTTCTGTAGCTATATTTTCTTTAGAGTTTGTATTTGGTTGTGATCAGGTACAAATCTTCCGCATGTACCTATCTCTGGCGCTGTCCCCGCGACGCACTCTGAACGGGCGACTGTGCGTGTGGGCGTGTGGTCGGTGCGGGGAGGCGGCGGCCGCGCCCGCGCATGTTGCTGCAGCCGCGCGCGCCGCCGCCGCGCAAGCCTTGAGGGCCTACTGCGCACAACTTGGTATATGCACTTCCTTTTTCTACCAGTTACAAAAAGACTATTCATCTCACAAATATGAGCTGCTAGAACTAGTCTAACATCCTAATTTAATCATAAAAAGATTTAAAAACAATCACAAGCCAGCATTTATTTTTCTAAAAGTCAATACTACCAGTCGAGCAATATTTTTCGCCGGATACTGTACATATTAAGGCAATGAGGAACTACAAGAAAAAAGGTGTTCAATAACTTCTCAAATCATCATAAATACGTTAAGAAAACTGAACTCTTCTAAACTGATATCTATTTTCAGATGAAGAGTGTCAGGAACTTCTCTCTGAAGGATCTCCCCTGGGTAGGAACCACATAGTGGCTGTGGGATGTTACAGTGAAGTGATACCCGTTATACAGTACTTGTGTAGCCGGTTATCTGAAACTCAACTGTAAGTATATTCTCTGTCTCTGAGGATTCAAATTCATTGGAACTAGGTCTAAGTAATTTCTAGAACATCGGGATACACTCCTGCTTTTGTCTATATATATCCTTTGGTAACAGTTTTCTTGCGGTGGATGTAAAGGTTAAACAAAAATACATTTAATTTGGATTTATCAATATATATCGTATATTTTCAGGTCTCCCAAACAGAATCCTCTAGCTCTATTCTTTCTAGACTGTCTTTTGACTCTGATGTCAAGTCTGTCGGAGCGAGTGAGTGACAACTCTCATTTTACAACGTTCCTCTGGCAGAAGTTTTGTCCGGCTCTCATCTCCTTCCTTGGAACTCCTCGAGTGGATAAGAATATTAAGTCAAGGTGAGATTATAATACTGGAAAATTGAATTTATAAGTCTTGTGTAGGATATAAAGGAGAATGCATATTGCCTACAAGTTAGAACTCTTAGAATAAGCGGCTTTGCAAACTTTTTATCAAGAGGACGTATAACTAGATTGAGGTCTTGCAAGTGTACAAGGACACTTGCAAGACCGCAGGAGCTGCAATTGCGTTGCAAATTTTGGGGATAAGCAGTTTTGGAGATTTAACGATTGGGACAAGATGGCGGGAGGGAAAGGATTGGGTCTCCAGTAACCTCGATAACACGTCGAAACACAACGCTGGGGTTATTTCACGCCGGTTTTCTATGGGGCCATGGTATTAGTCTAGTTGAGCCGCCTCGTTCGTGCCAAGCATGGCACTCCTACACTTAAACGTCTTACTTCTTCATGACTCCTGCCTGAACCTGAATTATTTTATCCAGCCAAGCAATTACTAAAGTTACTGATCAATGATGAATCGCATCTCCTAACTGGACTAAAAGTAACTCTGTGTAGAAGACACTATTAAGACCATTTCTATGTGTATTGGTAATTTCAGAGAACACGAGGGTCACTTGGTTGATGACTCCGGTCGGGGGTCCGGCGCCCTAAACTCCGCACCTAGCTTTAACAGCAAGCAGGCTAAAGCTATTTACAGGTACTTCATTGAAAAAAAAATATTATACATACAACATACAATGATTTTGTACTTACAAAAACATTTGAAACACGAAATGTAAATCAGAAAAAAATTAAGACGATAATGTGCCCAAATTTGACTCAAAATTTTAACTCTTGGGTCTTGTTACGCCATGTATCACCAAACACCACCACTTGAGGCATATGCGCTGTTTCATCGTGTGTTTGATAAGAAAACTCTTATCTTCTTTCAATAAAAATCTTAACACCGTTCTCATACCTTTTTCTAGTATTGCCAACCAGCTGGTTCGCCTAGTTGGATCCACCTCGAACCTCCGACCAGTCTTAGAGGCCCTCTACCACCGAATGTTGCTGTACCCTCCCGTATCTCACCGGGTTGAACCTCTGAGGAGTACCAGAGAAATGCTGCAGAATCCCAAGAGGCTGTGCCAATTAATCCTGCTGAAGAAGGTAGATCACCATGAAAGGCACAGTGACGATATGGCGATTATTCGATTGTAAGTAAGGTCTTTTCATTTCAGTAGTAGGTATAGCTTTTTTCGACAATAATATTTGAAAATCGATTGATTTGCTTAATTTTATTTAGTTTTGGCAAAAGTCTCAGGGTCAATCATATAATAAATATGGCTTTTTCCATTTTGAAATTCACATCACAACTGAGTGTAATGAAAACTACGAGTATATTCGTATGAACGAAGTATCAGCTTTTTAATATCATATACCTACTTAGACCAATGTTGACCAAGCAGCCTACTTCATGACTAACTTCATATTTAACATTTTTCCCTACTAACTTCACTCCAAACTTGTCATATTACCCTACTAACTTCAATCCAATTTCAATTACAGAATAATGGACGGAATAGAAGAATGCGGTAGAAGTGGCAATCCAGACGTTGTAGCTGCAGCGGTGGAATGCGTTGTATCACTACTGGATGCACTAGAGAAGCTATGCTCTGGCACTACAGAGTACATTAGTCCAGAGATAGCCACCCTCATACTGAGCCACTGGCAGAAACTGCAGGATGCTGACTACACCGGACCTTTGACTTATCAGACCTTGGCTAGGTTGCCCAGTCCGTACAGGTGAGAGGGTTAAATTGAACTGTGGAGTTTGGAATATTCTGCCGATTTGAGATAACTTATCATCCCTAGCAAGTCGACATCTTCGATCCACAAATTGTTGTTCCGGGTCTGGGTGTGATGTGTATGTGAAATTATATGTTTGTAAACGCACCCCTGACACAGAAGAAAATCCTACTGAAGGGCAACATTTAAAAAAAAAGAAATAGGAAAATAAAGAAGTTATCTTGATAAATGAGTTGATCGTCAAATGTCCATTTGTTTCAGAGATGTAGTGGCCGTGTTACAAAGCACGGAATCCAAAGAGCATGATTCATCAGGTACTTTACTTTTGAAACTACTTGATACTCGTACTTTACTGGTGACTGAGACAACAGCATAACCGATATAGTTTAAAAATTCTTAAAAGAGTTCTGAGAAGGATTTGTCTTGGTCGTCAGTGGAGTTTTCAGCAGTTTTTTAACATATAGTAAGCAATCTAGATAACCTGATAGTAAGCAATCGGCACCGCCCATGGACAAAGGCAAAAGGCGAAAGGCAAGACCAAAGCAAGGGTTTTGGATATTTAAGGATTGGGAATGGATAGGGGAGGGGGAGGGATTGGGCCTTCGGTAACCTAACTAACACGGCGGAACACAATGCTGTGGTTTTTTTACGTCGGTTTTCTGTAAGGCCGTACCACTCCGGACGAACCGACCCACTCGTGCCGAAGCTTGGCTCTCCCACACTTTTATTGTACACAATTTTTTGGTATCTTTCGGAAAAAAAAGGAAAATTCTAACGCTCTGAAGTTTTGTCACTTAGAAAGTTACTGAACATCTACCCATTCCTCTAGATACGTCAGGCCCCGAGAACATAAGCTCAGGCAGTGAGGGCGAAGCAGACTCCGACGCGGACAACGTGTTCCTGCCTGCCCGCGCCAGTCTGCCTTCAGGAGATGCTACCACTCACGCACAGACTAAACCTAAGGCCGTGCCAAAGACTTTGAATCTAGGAAGGTGAGTTTTTATAGATGATGTGGATGATAAATTTGAAAATTTTGAAGTATTCTTATTTGATCATCTGGGAGTTTAGAATGAGTCCAGAGAGATTTAGAAATTGGGCCTCTAGTACTTCTCTCACCGCCATCGCCATATGAACTTACGGTAATTAAAACGCCTTGGTTGTTTCACGCTCATTTTTTAAGAGGCTATGGTATCACTCCGGTCGAGTTGACTCATTCGTGCCGAAAAATGGCTCTCTCACATTCATTCTTTCCCATGTGTATTCTAAGAATCCAGAATTTGTGCAAGAATTGGTATAAGAGAAAATGTTTTTATTACTTAAGCCAAAATACCATTTGGTTTACAGATGCACCATAACAGAATGTAACGTAGACTTGGAGAGACACAACGCGCGACAGTTCATCAAAACGCTACAGAATTCGCTTCTACCAAAACTGTTGAATCTTCGCACTTGTATAGAGGTAATTCAATTATTGCCTTATATTTCTTCGTTACTCAAAAGCTAAGTAAATAGAGGGAATCCCGAAGAATGGCTAGTTACATCAGATAAAAACGTAGACTTCCAAACGATTCCAGAAGATTTCAAGGTCTCTAAGTCTTTAGGGCCGCGCCGCCCCTGTGTGCGAAGTGTGCGGCGCACACAGGCGCCAAGACAATAGGGGCGCCGCGCCGGCACTGCCACCTAAATTATTTTTGTTACCTACTACTCTGTCAAGAAAGTACCGGGAAAAAGTCAATAATACACAAAATGTTTGTTATTCATCTAAATTTATTTTAGCTCCTTCAGAAACGATACACTTACGCCAACGAATAATCCAATCATCGAAACTTTTTTTAAACGCTGTTTCCGGAATTGAGTTCAGTGCTCGCCGCGAATTCTCCTTTATGTCTTCTAACGATTGAAAACGGGTGCCACGAAGGGGTAATTTGAGTGTGGGAAAAAGAAAGAAGTCGGCTGGAGCCATATCTGGTGAATATGGTGGCTGCTCGATGGTGTTTGTTGAGTGTTTGGACAAAAAATCGTTTACAATGATGGCCTTGTGCGAAGGCGCATTATAGTGATGCAAAATCCAAGAATTTTCTTTCCACATTTCTGGCTTTTTTCGTCGAATTTGTTCTCTTAAACGCCGCATAACGCTCAAATAATATCTTTATTTACCGTTTGACCTTCGGGCAAGAATTCTGAGTGCACAACACCGCGATAGTCAAAGAAAACAGTCAACATGACTTTGACTTTTGATCGACTTTGACGTGGTTTTTTCGGTTTTGGTTCAGTTGGAAGGCGCCATTCCGAAGCTTGTTGACTAACTTCCGAAGCTCGTAAACCCACGTCTCGTCACCAGTAACAATGCGTTTCATGAATGTTGGGTCGGTATTGACTCGTTCTAGCATGTCCAGCGACTTTCATGCGATTTAGTTTTTGAAGAAAATTCAGGTCTTTTGGGACTAGCCGAGCGGCAACACGTTTCATACATCTCGACCGCTTTTGAACGCTTTGTACCACTCATAAGCACGTGTTTTTGATAAAGTCGATTCACCGTAAGGCTTCTGTAACATTTTGAGTACCTCCGAACACGAAATTTCATTGGCGATGCAAAATTTAAGACAAACTCTTTGTTCGATGTTTTTGTCCATTATGAAATTCGCAATACACACTAGATATTATAAAACTAAAAACAGCACTGTTTTTAATATAAATAACAGATGCAACTCAAATTCCGCGCCAAAATGGAAAACAGTTATGCCAATCTAACAACAACAAAAAAAATTAAAATTCGAATTTGGAACCATAAAAAAACATTCATTCCCGATACTTTGTTGACTGAATGTATATCCAGTTACATATTTTTTTGCTTCAGCGTGCACTTCATTATCATAATTAGGTACTTTTAATGTTACCGATCACTGTAATCAACGAATCAACTTCACATGCAAAATCAACATTTGAAGAAATCACAGGTGTTGGTATTTATTAAATGATGAATAAAGATTTAAATAAACCATTGTTATCTTTTTTACAGTTCAAATTTGGTGAATGCGTTGAATTAAAATTATTTATAATCAAAGTCTTATAGGAATTTATAAATTGATTACATGATGGATTGTTATTTCTAATTCCATTGCTTCTAATACCACTGAAAAAAATTCTAACGGATCTTGATTAAAATTTCTTCTCAATAAACTAAGCACATTGTGATTACTATTCAAATCAACCCAAAATTCTTTAAAAATTCTAATATTATTGATCCACTTCATTTCCTTGATTATTATTTTCAATTGATTAAAAATTTATTGATTCTAATACAGGCAGTAAATTATTCCACAGTTGTATGAGCGGTGAACTATTTTTTGAACATGTTTTGTGCTTTTTTGCCGACATTCATCTCATTTTTTAAGGTATTTCGTAAATTGTCTATGATTATTTTATTTATACCTGGAACAATAATTGCGACTGAACTAAGCATTCTTTGGATTGCTCGTTTTGAAGGCAAAACAAACATATTTTGCAAAAACCTATAAGCTTTTGGGATTTGCTATTTAGTCAAAGCCACAACTTTTTCCTTTTCGAAGATATTCTGCCTTTTGGTTTTTTTTTATTTTTTACACCTTTAATTTGTAAAGGATTAAACTGACGTGAGCTTTCTGGCAACTTTTCAATTAAACTTAAAAATAATTTATTTGTTGAAATGGGCTTCTAGCACACTGCACTAGTGTATTTGTGTTTTTTGTATTTTGCCCTTAATTTCTCAATACTATTTTTGAGGCGTATTATCTTTATTTTTGTTGTCGTATCTATTTCTTGTGTTTTCTTCTTGGTGTCTGTTATGTATTTTATTAACGTTGTAATGAACATAATTGTACTAAGTATGATCATAAGTCTCTTACAATTTAGCCACAAACCATGAATAAAACCAAGTTATCAAAAAAAAGAGGCGCGTTAAAAAAGAGGCGCTTCATAGGTTTCGCACACAGGCGCTGCCGGGGGTCGGCGCCCGGTTGGGGTTGCAAAAAAACTATGAAGTAAATAATAAAGCCCATCTGGGAGCTGGGAGAACGAAACGGAACAAGTTTTTAGCCAGAAAGAAGAAGTCATTGGATGACACCACATCACCAAACTTTGCACTCATCAGCCATTCTTCATTACAATGATAGTAAAAATCTACGACTGTTAAGCAAGAATAATCATGTTCAATACACAAAGAGATTATTACTATTTAATTTGCTGTAACTATTTAATCAAATATCTGTCTAGGTGGACGAAGCAATGCAAGAGTTTGCCTCAAAGTGTTGCCAGCACAACGCAGCCCAGCCCCCGGCGACCGCCTGCATTATGAACGCGGACGGGGTCTACCTCGCCACGTACGCTGCGCTACTGTTAACTCTCAAACAACGGAGGACTAATTACTATAATCAGCCTAGCGTAAGTTCTATATAATTTAAGAAATAATATTCTGAATGTGTTTATTCTTGAGAATATTTGATTTAAATCCCATCCTTCTTGTAGATCGTTCTTCAAAACCCTAAACCTCCAAAGGTCAGCAACATACTCGAATTGCTTTCGTTAATGCGGGTTCCATAGGCGGTGATGATTGGTTACCATCAGTTCGTTTGCAGTCTTATCACATAAAAAAAATTGTTGACTCATTATAATATTATAACATAGATAGAATAGAGGTAGTAATAGTATAACATAGTAACGAAACTTGACAAAAACAGCTCAATTCCACATTGTACTTCTCTCTCTCACTCTTTTCTCTTCGTTTTCACAATGTCCATGAAATAGTAACTATTGTAAGACATACTAAACCATTTGAAAATAACGTCTCACGTGACTTCACTGAGAAAACTACTAGTTTCAAGTCATAACGGGACTGCACAAAAGTATCAGCACTCTTCATACTCGCAAAGTTTATCGTCCGCCCGCCCACGGACGTATCAGCGTCTTTGTAGTAGACCCTACTTAGGCCTCCTTTTGTCACACCAACTAATGATTGTGACAAAAAAATAATGATCAAATAAATAGGCAGACCTAATAAGCACCAATCTAGACTTACATCCATCCTGTCTCTCAACACAACACATTGTTTTTCTTCTATCATGTCATATTCTCCTTCAACAGAAAGTGCAAGTATCTCTAACGGAAGATGAGTTCGTAGAAGAGGTACAAGGTAGCGGCGTGCTAGTATACCTGTCAGCGACATGGCTGAGGGAACTGTACCAACAAGTGCTCGCTACTGATCTACTCAAGGATGTGCCTTCAAGTGATCATCCTCTACTGCATTTGTTATCAGGTGAGCAGTTCAAAACTTTATACAAAATTACTACACCAATTAGTCAGACGGGCCAGTCAGTCCAATCTAATTTTGAAGTCTTAGTGACTTCAAAATTGGACGATAAATTAGGAGTTTTATTGTGAGAGGAAAATCGTGCAATGACTTCTCTCGCCCAGTGTGAGGCGAGAAAGAGTGTCTGACTTTTACTGACTAAAAATAACTCAGTTCCTGCTTCTGCTCTACTATCTTCTGTGTCTAGCTTCTGTAAATTATTGCGCTTACCCCGCAACTCCGGCTGAACATCGACTCTATAGAACACCGTCTGTTATGGTCTATTGGTTCTTTAAATGGTAAATTAGCTAGGCCGTGACTACAAACATGAAAAAAATTTTTGTAAGTATGATAAAATCATTGTGAAGCAAATTTAGTACTTCACTGACGCAGCTTCTCTTTTTCATCAGATCTCGGTGGATTGGATCAGAGCCCAGTGATGTCAGACTGGCAGAAATTGAAGGAAGTGTCGTGCTTTTACAATAACACAGTCGAGTCTCCACAACATGACGCTAGCTTACGTTGGGCGAGAAGGTAAAGTAGAATAAATATCATTAATGTCACTCTCTAGTTTTAACTATATGTATTCTAAATTAATCTATACTAATTTTATGTAGAGGGTATAATTTTTGGAACCACTGGTCGGATTTACAAAATGATTTCACTGATAGATAGCTACTTGATGTTCCGAAGTGCTATAAATTATAGTGATGCTGATGATTACAGTGATGATTACATTGATTTGCGTATTTTAGTCAAGCTATCGCTTTAAACGCTGATGTTTTAAAATGTTGGGATAGATTTCTTTCGTACGCGTGCGAAGCCACGGGCTTAAGCTAGACGTTGACAGCTTTAAAACCCCCTGTAGGCTTTTCTCCATAAATCTTTAATTGACCAGTACTTCTTTATTTAACTCGTCTAAAACTTCTGCCATTTCAGTAAGTCTTATCAAGAACCAAAACTCATAAAATTCTTCTACTATTATAGGATTTTAACATGCATATGGGACTCTATGGTGACGGTATTAAGTGTACCCCTGACCGGTTATGGGAACAAGAAGCAGAAACTGCACGGCATGATATCAAAGAAAATCAACACATTCGGAAAGAGGAAGCGAATCGCTTGGGAGGGGCTAACGATACAGTGTCTTGAAGGATTGCATAAGGTAAAAAAAATAATGTCCCTTATGTATGCTTAAATCTTTAAGTAAATTGATTTAAGAGGATGCTTTATATGTAAAATGACATCCATTAAATGATGCACCCGTGCGAGGCCAGTTCGGGTCGTGCGTTTGAAATATTCAAAAGCACCAAAGCGTTTTGGTAGTTAAATATTATATCAATAAACACATTAAAATAAAAAAGATTGCTCTCTTCTTTCTCTCCTACACGTTATGTAAAATGCTTCAATCAACAACAGTCATGGTAATAAGGTTCAAAATCCTACTACAAAAATGTGAAACTAAAGTATAATCACAAATGTTTTTCCCATTTCAGGCTGCCAGAGTAAGCAATACTCTGTGTTTACAAAATAGATGCAGCAGTATATTGGCATTATTGGCTAACTCTGCCATCTCACAGCCGCCCAACGGGAAAATACTTTCCACTCATGCCCTGTCTTTGGATATACTTATAACAGGTACAATTGCTATTTATGGAACATCTTTCTCATTAAAAATCATTGCGTTAGTACTATTTTATCAGTCATGTTAATTATTTTAGTTATCTTTTTGGTCATTACAGTTGTGTTAATTAACATTATTAAATTATCCATTAACCATATATATTATAAAAAAACAGTGTATTGATTAAGATGGCAATATTGATTAAGTAACTACCTTCTAATATTTACAATATTAATCTCCAATAAAACTCAAAGAAATAAGAGGAAGTACATTTATTTCTCACCTTAGCGACGGGCGCCAATAAGTTATTGACGCCCAACGTGGGACCACTTTCTTTTGACGACAATTGTAGTAAGTAGTGCTTAACTTATTCTGTCTCATTTCTTCAGGTGGCTTAGAACTTGGTTCCAAAGCTCCAGAATGTTGGGAGCATATATTCGCAGCATGTCAGTACGTGTCAAGCTTCGAGCATTCTTTGTTCGGACACCAAGGGAATAATGCTACGCCCATAGTGACCATGCAAACTGGTAGAAATAAAACCGTGTCTATATTACAAGCTGATGCTAAACTGGGGCTGGATGGGAAAGATGATGAGACTTGGTGAGTTTAGACTGAAGTGAATATAGCCAGGCTAGCAAAAAAGCTTTGTTTTCGATATGCTTTTGTTGATTTCGATATGGCTAAGCTTATAGAAAGTGGCTCAAATCAAAATTCGCATACTGAACCTATTGTAATTGCGATAGATAGGTTATTAAAACTGACGGTTCTGTTCGTTTGTTTTAAATATTGGAACGATTACGGTGATTCTTTCGTTTTTTACAGCGTGGATGTATTCAATTTTTTGCAACCAGTGTTGGAGAGCAACGTAAATAACGACATGTCCGTGGCGAAAATTGTCGAAGCGTGCAGGCAAGAGGTACGTTATAATTATTTATTTGGGGTTTGATAAGATAAATAATCCGGGACTAACCCACTTTCTGCATTGTATATCCCATATTGATTAATTTATTTATCTTTTTGGATACCTACGTTCTATGATACGTTTCGTATATCTTCTTATTTCTTCCTCTCTTATACACATGTCCTGTTCATCTTTAATTGAATTCGAAACAAGGTAATCCGGTAGGGACCCAAAGTAGTTAGGTACCTAAAGTATAACATTTGATTTGACAGAGAAGCGATACTCTCCAGCTCGGTAGACATTTGTCAAAATACACACTTCTTTCTCTGATCGGTTCGAATTCTACACGGCTATGAGGACGAGGGTTATAAAGAGTACACTTGTGGTAGGATATCTCCTACGAAGTAAGTATGGCAATTAGACAGGCTGTATAGGCACTCTCTTTAGTCGGTTCGGATTATAAGTCCACACGGCTATGAGGACGAGGGTAATAAAGAGTAGACTTGTATTTGGACATCTTCTACGTAGTAAGTAGGGCAATTAGATAAACTCCGAAATGAAAATAGATCAGGTAACACGAGAGCACATGAATGCGCAGGGCGGGAACGTGATCAGTGGCGCGAGTGCGGCGCGGGTTTGCTGCGCGCTGGGCGGCGCCGCGGACGCGCTGTACTCGCGGCTGGCCGCCACCACCACGCTGCCCGCGCTGCGCGCCGCGCTGCAGCGACTCGTCGCGCACCATCACCGCCTGGTAACTCTTCAATATACTTTTCGCTTCAATACACATGAATGAGGAAAGCCATGCGTCGATAGGAATGGGCCGGCTCAATTAGAATGATACCAAGGCCTCAAGAAAACGAAGTTTGTATTTCGCCATAATGTTCGTACTCAAAATGATCCAACAACTCTCCCACCGTTCCTGATTCTTCTCGAATCTTCAAAACGTGGGTAACATACTGGTTATTTCTCTGATTTGCAAGATTTAAGTACGGTGTCGTTGCTTTCCATAACCTACGTGAATCGTAGGCTTTTGAGCTACCACATTCCATATCAACAAAATTATACGGAATCTGCCAAAAGTTGATCTTTTTTTCAGTAATAACAGTTTTTTAAAGGTTAATTAAATTGTTCACAGTTATTTTGCTCCTGGGAGTCGGACGTAGCGAACAATAATGTATGGTGGTGGCGGCGGGGAGCGGGTACTAGTAGCGGGGGTAGGGGCGCAGGCAGTGCGGGGGGTGCAGGGGGCGCGGGGGGCGAGGCGGCGCGCGCGCTGTGCCGCGCGGGGGACGTGGCGCTGCGCTGTCTGCGGGCCGCCCGCCCCCTCGCGCACCGCATGGCTATATGGACCGTCGTGGGACCACATTTTATGCAGGTAACTCATATGTACATAATCCCTACTATACTATACTGTACTACTAATCCCCAAGCCGGTGTTCTTTGTGACCCAAAAAGCTGAGGTCGACACCAGAAACATTTTTGACTCAGTGTTGGACTGATCAATACTGAGTCCACAAGGATTTTAGAAAATCAGAACTACTTTTAAGACCCTCATCCAACCGAAAAACCAATACTAGATCACTAGCTGGTAAAAACTCGATCAACGAGAGTTAACATGGCTTTCTCTACCGTATTTAAGTATACAACAGAAATATCTTTACTAAGTATTTTTCTTTTTCTGTTCTTACCCAGGCGGCCTGCCACAAGGACATTCAGATTGCAAGCTTAGCGATCCAATGTCTTCACGACTGCGCCACTGCGCTTCTGAACCAGCAAGTTGAACTACCACATTTCCACTTCAATGAGGCATTGCTGAAACCTTTCGAGAACCTTCTCTGCTTGGAGCTGTGTGATGATGATATTCAGGTAACTTAGCAACTACATAACAAATTGCTTTGAAGTAGATGAATGTATCTGAACAGCTTAAAGTAATATGTAACATGTTCTATCTTCAGGAACAAATCATATCCTGCATCTGCGAATTCGTGGAGACCAACAGAATGGAAATAAGATCTGGTTGGCGGCCTCTATTTAATACGCTGCGGGCGGCCAACAATTCTAACCAATACTCCGCCATCTTAGAAATATTTAAAGTATTCCTCAGCACAGACAACACGCTCGTGTTCGCTAATGCCGCTCTAGACTGCATACTGTGCCTTCTAAGTCATATCAAAGGACTGCACTACGAAGAAGTGCAAGCCACCGAAATAAAACCGAAGAAAGTAACTACGCCCACCCAACCCAAACCTAGTCTTAGCCTAAAATTCTCAAAGAATAGCAAATTCATTCCACTCAGTGAGGAAAAATCCGAGAAAGTAATCGTAGACATGTGCCGAGAGGCGTTATATCACTTGGAAAGTTGCGCCGATATTCTAACAATGATGTACAACATGCCAAAATGTCCGATCTTTAATACCGGTAATAGGATCAAAGGGGACATGCCACTGTGCGTTGTAGACCCTATTATACCCAGCGCATCTCTTGACATTACCAAGTTTATTTCTAATGAGCATTACGAAGAGGATCTCATTTCATATAGAAAATTATCCACAAGTCTTCCCCCTTCAAATACGACAAATAATTGTCTTTTAAAGCTTGACAAACCAAGCAATATACTAAAGGTATGGTACGTTCTCATTGAAGGCTTGATCTCGGCTACCGTCGTCTGTTCTAAGAAAAATCAACCTGCCGCTATGGAGACGTTGTTTAAACTGCTGCGGAACACGATAGAAGTGCCTGGCACCCATTTCGGTCTACACTGCATAAACCATCTTCTACTGCCCACAGTTCAGAACTGGCTTCGGCAAATAGCCAATGTCAATACTCACTGGGATAGTGTGATGCCAAACTTTAAACAGTGTTGCGGCATGACCACTGACACTATTGTCGTATACTTGCATCATCTGCAACAAATAAACGTAGAAAGGTCGACGGTTGATGAGAAGAATGAACCAGTAGAGATTGAACCCATTGAGAGCGTTGAAGCAACGTTTGCCTTGAAACAAGTAATGCTTATTTTAGTAGAATGTATCGCCCAACCTCAAGAACCTATCGCGAGGTTAGGCGCTTCGTGTATAAGGCATATAATTTTAACGTCGGGGCATCTACTGACAGACAATCAATGGGAAATTGTCTGTACCAGTTTGCACAGAGCTTGTAATGTTAGCTTGACTCCACTCAAGCAACTAACCTATGCCTTCAAAGAAAACTCGAATAGCTTTTACGGAGATTTAGCCATGGTGAAAGTAGCTGCGCGAAGGGATTGTTCAGTAAACGATAATGTAAGACTGCATGCGATGGCACAACAAGTGTTCCTAACCGAACAGCTGAAAGGTGATGGACATGTTAAAATAACTCCAAAGAATTCCTCTCAGAACCTCATGCTGATTGATGATCGGAGTTACATATTCCTGATCTATCTTCAAGAGTCAATTAACTCATTAAACCCAGACCTGTATACGGTGCGAATACCTCATAGAGGTCTCGTGGTGGGATTGTTAGCCCACCAAATATTGGTTCAAATAATTGCTACGGTTCTGATTCAAGCATCATCAGATGTCTTCCAAGGAATAAATAGTATCCTGTTAGATAGTCTTAAAACTGGTTCTAACGTTTGCAACTACAAATTCTTCCTAAATAGTGACAACATAGATTTGTTGTTGAGAAGTTTGGAACTATCATTTACGAGAGCCATGCAATTCGACTCAAGGCCGGGGTTAAAGTTTCTCGTACAAAAAGTGTCTAATTTGGATCACGCTGCTAACTTGTACAAGCAAACTACTTCTTCGTGGCTTATAAAAATAATTGCGCTGACTGAGATATTCTTCAATGGAGTTCATAAATTCAAATTAAAGGCAACGGATTTATCGATAATATTGCATAATTACACGACGACATTGAACATGACTATGGAATACGATCGATTTGTGACAAAAATATTCGATCTGAAGCATACATGGGAGTTGTTATGTCACAATTACGTGAAGCATTCGATAAATGTTTCGGATTTCGATAACAATGATATAAAAGAGAGAATGTCTTGCAGCTCAGAAGAAAGTGATAACTCATCGAATCATTACGATCAGTATTACGCTCAGGATCCAAACGAGAATACTGATGAGCCGGTAATAAATAAAGAACAGGATGTATCACCGGAGAAGGTTATCGAAAAGCCAAAGCCATTTACATTTGCTGACTTCAAAGCGAATAGTCAAGGGTCTATCACAGTAGAGATACACACAGAGAATTTACCGTCAAATAAGAAGATAAAGGAAGAACCAGTTAGTTCTGAAGCTGATATAGTTAGCGACCAACATTCAACATCTAGCAGTGACGGTAATGATGACAAACCTATAAATGGTCATACGCCACAAGAAATTGAGATACATAAAGAAACTCCGATTAAAGAAAAGAAAGGCAGTATACCAGATATTATAGAGAACCACAGCATAGATACGCGGAAATTAAATCTTTCGATTTGCGACACAGTTTCGTATGAGAAGGTGAAGGTGGCTGAACCAATATTACCACCGCAACCCGTGCCGCCTGAAATTGAACAACAGCGAGCTTTAAGTATCAGCAAGGTGAGACACGTTTATGTTTATAAAGACTACCATAGCTGTATAGTTATCTCGTAATGTTCTTCTCCAGTAAAACTCACTATTCAAATATATTTTTTTTTAAATATCATATTACCATTACGAACAAATATGTTATCGATATATGTATCGATTCATATACGTAAACTTGTGTGACATCCACTTTTGCCCAGCAAAATAAAAAAAAATATAGCATATATCTTCTGAGGTTTCTCAGGCCACTATTGTATGTCATAAATCGCCATCCAACCCTTACTGAAAATGTTTTCACCACGCGCTTTTTCTATCTTGCTTTCAGCGCAACGCATATCGAAAGTATAACAATACCGCCTTTGTTATTTGATAGATAAAGCTTATTCCATCGCCATCATCCTAACCTTATTATGTTGTGCCAAATCCATACTACTCGTATTACTAAAAATAGTAGGTATCCCAAAAACCATTAAGGTTTTGAGCGATAGTAATTTTTTTTTTCGCTTCCAGGATACTGAAGTGCAACGAAACTGCTTCCAAAATATTTTAATGGCATATCTGGAATTGGTCCTGACGTTTTCTCTGGAAAGGTTCCAACTGATCCACCCAGTACTGCAGAGTGGATTCGTTCAACTCGCCAAAACTGTCACCGACCCTCAACTACTCGAAAGAATCAATATATTTTTCGATAAAAAAGACTTATCTGAATTTAACTATAAGTGATCAATTAATTGTGATATATAAAATTCACACTATGATTATTATATTCCTCGATTGCTCGGTGTTTATGTGAAATAAAGTCATATTATAATGTGATTATATTTTTTTTCATTTCAGCAACATGAAACTCGTTGTTGAGGAAAGTAATCATCATAATAAACCACTTTTTATTGGTCACCAGACAGCATTTAAAATCTGAAATTATCAATACCTATATTTTCACATGTTATGATATTATCCTATTTCACAAGCAGCTTCTCCTTGCAGTCCACGTGACAGAAGGCTGCTCAAACATAAACTTTACTAAAAACACGAATAGCGTAGGCTACGACGACTGTTAAAGACCAAAATACTAAAACACGTAACATTTGAAATCTGCGGACACCTGAGGCTCTTAATCAATTTCAGTATTAGCTTAAATATTTATCTAGATGCTCTAAAAACTATAAAGCCATCGTTTAAAGCAGATGACAGATGCAATTATAAAATACATAAATCTACATAATACAATCAATATAGCTTTGCTACATAATCAATATACGATTTTTTATATAAATTAACTTAAACCGTGGATGGTTGGAAGCCTATTTGTGGCACATTCTGCGATTTGACGCAGGTTTTCGACACACTTTCCAACTCTTTTAAATAAACTCGAAGCTTACGGCACTAGAGGCAATATACTATTAAAACTAATCCAAGCCTATTTAACAAAACGAAAACAAATCACAGAAATCAGAAAAAAAAATTACCGAAAAAAAATAAAATAAAATGAAAATTAATCTTCAGAATGTGGAAGTCACTTTAGTATGCCCCAGGGCAGCGTATTGGGTCCTCTAGTCCTAAAGTTTTTAAAAAATTGTATACAGCGCTGCCCGAACGACTTAACGCTCGTTTGTTAATCCACTGTAATTCGATTCCAGCCGAAACCTTTCCGTCTCCAAGTCGTGATATCTCTTTTTACGCATTTTTCTCCAGTTGCCAATGATTTTCAAAACCTATGAACTCACTGTTGGGTTTGGATCGTTCGAAGTGTATTTTTTTCAGTCCTCTCCGTAACGAATCGATTGTACAAGTGCGTTAAGAGCACCTTAAAGCTATGAGCAAAGTCGTTCCTTGAGAACTATGGTTGTACCAGTGAACTGAGTGAGCTAGAACCGACCAGGAGTGGTACCGAGCACTGGAGGTGGCTGGAGGTGAATTTTCGCTTTGAAGTGTCAACCTAAAATAAGTGATTGACGATTTCTCCGAAATATAACAATTGTAGTCACAGGATATTAAACTGCTTCCAACTTGGATTTCGTTATACATCACTGTTACCACTCAACATATTTTAAGTCTGTAAAGTTACAAATAGCATATCGTTGAAATCCTTATATCATTCAGAAGGACATAGACAAAATTGTGTCTTAAAAAAACAATGGGGTGGCTATGGGCTTAAATAACAAATATATTTATATAACAATATACAAATATATTTAGATAATTTTTAAAAAGTTCTCCAAGCAGCGTTTGTTTATGATAATTATCTAGAGATCGAAGAGCACATTACAAAAGTACAAAGTCTACAAGAATACATATTGGGATTTTTAATCAGCAATAAAACGATATCGTATAAAAATGGTGTTTTAATTTCAATAACCTTTAAGTTTGTAGATAAACAATATTCACATTTTCAAAATATCTAAACATCTAAAAATTAACAACAAAGTTATAAATGTAATACATATTTGGTTTAAAGACTACGAGTATTTTATAATAAATGTCTTTTGTGTAAAAATGTTATAAAATGCTATTTGCAGTCTATTGCGCACTGCTAGTGCGAAGTTAAAGACATTGTCATTACACCTACAGTCTAAATGGCACAATGAACTCACGTTACTAACATGACTAAACAATTTGTGCCCGATTTTAAAGCAAACCAAAGCATAATCTCTAAATTCTTTGTATACGTTTCTAACGATGGCACTATAGTAATTATACATACAATATTTACAACTACTGTACAAATATACAATTCCAATGATAATATATTATGGTCTTACCTTAACACGTAAACACTTAAACACGCTAATAAAGCACCTATGGACAAACTTATAGTATTTGCACCTTGAGTGGGATACGTGTGAACAGTCAACGCGTATGATAACGAACTTAGACCTAAATCACTTGTAATTAAAACACTTTCTCTATTGATCATGTCTGCTATCTTCTCCGCTTCAAGAATACACACGTTGAGTTGTAAATCTGTTGGGTTCTCCAACATAGTTTCAACCGTCACGAATATTTCCATTTCTATGGTTAAGTACCCTCTGAGAGCACACTCGGCTATCTTCACATGTCTCTCTAGAGCTCTCATAATGTTGTTTAGATTAATAACAGAAGCTGAAATGTTGGTGCCGTATAACGCTCTGTCGATTTGTTTCTTTGAGTATAGGATCCTGAGAGCTCCTCCACATTTAGGGCAGCAAGCACCTGGAGCAGTGAACCCGAGGCAGTTTGGTTTCTTCAGTGGCGGACAGATGATCCTATCGATTAGGGCACACTTTGGTTCCATAAGGTCGGATATCGGTCCTACAGCGAGACAGGGCCCCGCGTAGTCCACGCTCACGTACTCAGCCCAAGCGGCGCACTCTGATATGTAAGATACTCCGTTCACACCGCAAACTGGGCCGGCCTGAAATAGTAATGAGAATGTCTTACTGTAGAAGGTGAATTACGACAATCAGAATGCCTAACAATTTACATATAAAGCAATATGATAGTACTTACAGGCGAGCATCCCTGCAGACAAGGTCCCCAGTACGCAAACTTCCTCCCACTCATGACGAGATGGCACGGGTTACTGTGCGTGCGACCGTCCGTGTCGCATACTGGCTGCCCCGGCTGGGCGTTACAGTTCACTGTGCTTACTGGAAAATATATTTTTAACATGAAAACATAATTATATTAATGAATGGACATATAATTTAAGAAATCGGATGTACAGTACAAAAGCGCGCGGAACAGTTTTCTTCATCTGACATCTTCGACTAAGAGATGTACGAGCGTTAAAATGGCGTAGGACTAGGGTAATCCGCCCTCGCTTAGTAGGATTTAATTCCTATTAATATTGACAATGAAAAATTACAAGTTATAGCAGTGCAGCATCGGTTGCATCACTATGCTCGTCCCGAGAATGCAATATGAGTTAGAATCACATAAGACAGAAACTGTATAGCAACGCTTTTTGATAAACTTAGATTTTGACTGTTATCTCCAATTAAGTGGAGCATATGTGAAACTAAATCATGTAGGAAAATTTCATAGTGTAGCTATGGACAATGACGGGTTGTTGACGATGATAATTGCGTCTCTGTAGTTCCTGAGTTAATGAATGTAAATAGAACTCAAAACTTCAGTGTGTTTAATAGAATGATTGATGGATGTACCCGACGGCCTCTCAGATGTACTCGACGCAAGGCAAGTAATTATTTGGCAAAACAGATCACTAATAGGTATAATCGTGGGAGAGCCAAGCTTCGGCACGAATGGGTCGGCTCGACCGAAATGATACCACGCCCTCACAGAAAACTGTCGTGAAACAACCACAGCGTTGTGTTCCCCAATGATGATGTTCTTTAAATTATCCGTGTGTTGCGGATGTCCATGGGAGGCGCTGATTGCTTACCATCAGGTAATCCGTTTGCAAGTTTGCCGACCTATACCATAAAAAGATAGTGACTGACCGCAGTGGTACTGTGGGCAAGAAGTCTGTAGCCGCGATAGACACACGTTGGGCGCCGGCATACAAACATGGCGCCGCCCACACGTTGCGCTGGCGCACGGGGAACTCGTGCCAAACTCTATCTCGCCGTCCGACGCTCCTGCGCATCTGCAAAGTAAAAAAGAAGAATATTATTAAGGTATATTAAAAATTTATCTCTTTCAATTATTTGTAAAGGCCAAAACGACCTGGTTGGACGAATAAGTTTCATTTTTTGGATAAAGTAGAAATTGTTGTCAATGCATCACAAAAGGACTTAGCGTAGGTTAGGTTAATCAGGGGGTCCCCCCACAGCGTTGACTTCCTCGTAGTGACCCCTGGGCAACGTCGCGCCTGACCACCGTAACGGAGTGGCAGGCCGGCGGCTAACGAACGCTGTGAATCGGTTGCTTAAGTTGTCGTGAGCTCTCGATATTGTTGGTGGCAATGCCACAACCCTTGAGGGACGCCTCCGGGCGTTTTCTCCCAAAAGGCCCTTCTCAGGGCCAACCCAAAGGCCCTTTTCAGGGCCAACCCAAAGGCCCTTCTCAGGGCCAATCCAAGTCACGGGATGCATCTGCATCTGAGACCAGCCGCGCACCATCTGCGGCGAGTCTCACTCGAGGCTGCGACATCGTGTCGGACCTTTCTGACACTGAGTCCATCGTAAGTGGTACGAACTGTGGTTCGACTCGCCAGTCGAGGAAGAGGGCGTTCCTGAGGCAGGACTCCAGAGGCTCTCCAGACCAAGCGGAGAAGCCTCCAAAGCGGGCGGTTATTCAGGCGGACTTGGAGGAGAGAATCGCCGCCAAAGAGCAGCGGACCCGAACCACTAGAGCCAAGGTTGGCTACGGCGCCTCCAGCGTCCTCTACGCGGACCATTCCGTAGAGGAAATGGAGCGCATGGCTCTGGAGGATCAACTTGAGATCTTGGAGGTGGCTTCCAAGTCCTCCAATCTGAAAGGGACCTTTCAGAAGGCCCTGAAATGCCGGGCAGCGAGTTTGCTCGGCATCGTAAAGGAGTTGGCGCAGCGCACCACCTCCGACGAAACGCGGCAACTGCAGGCGAAGGTGGATCGCCTGCAGAAAGAGGTGTCGGCGTTGCACGCGCGCGTTGCCGAGCTCATGGCCCGGCCCGAGGGGACATCGGAAGGTCCAGCGCTGATGCCCGCCCCCTCGAACCTTGAGGATATTATCCGCAAGGTAGTAATGGAGGAGAGGGCATTCACCAGGGCCTGCTTCGCGGGCATCGAGGACCGGCTACTTCCGGAGAAGCGGCTTCGCCCTCCACTCGCGGCGGATAAGGTATCCGAGAGGACCCCTAGCGCACCGGGTCCATCAACGGCCCCAGTCCAGCGGGAGTCCAAGGGCAAGGGAAAGGGTAAGGGGAAGAAGACCACCCCGGCCGCCCCGACTGCCCAGACGGTCCCTCAGGACCTTCCGAGAGAGGACCCACTCCTGCCCTCAACCACCCCATCCAACCAGCCTTGGACAAAGGTGGTGCCGAGGAAGCGGAAGGGGAAGAAGAAAGTGGCCCCCAAGCCCCCTGCAGCCAAGCCTGCAGCCGCAGTGGAAAAGAGGAAGAAACTCCCTCTTCCTCCGAAAAGTGCAGCCGTAGTGGTCACGTTGACCCCAGAGGCAGCAGAGCGAGGGGAGACGTACGAGTCCGTGTTGCGGCGGGCTCGTGCCAACGTAGACCCCGCACAACTCGGGGCGGGTAGGGTCACGTGCCGGAAGACCCAAACGGGGGCTCGTATCTTCGAGTTCTCCGGGGCTCAAGGTGGAACCAAGGCGGAACTCTTTGCGGCGAAGCTCAGGGAGGCTGTCGCAGACACGGCCAAGATCGTGAGGCCGGTGAAATGTGTGGCTCTTGAGGTGACTGATCTCGACGACACAGTCACCCATGAAGAGGTGGTAGCCGCGGTTGCGGCGGCGGGGGGCTGCGCCGTCGAATCGATCAAGAGCCGCGCCATTAGACCAGGCCGCGGGGGTATGGGCACGATGCGGTTGGAGTGTCCCATCGCGTGTGCCAAGGCGGTCCTCGCCAAGGGTCGCCTGCCAGTGGGGCTTAGCTCGGGTGGGGTCCGAGCGCTTGAGGACGAGCCGATGCGCTGTTTCAAGTGCTTCGGCATCGGCCACACCCGGGCTCTCTGTCCGTCATCTGCCGAGCGCAAGGAGCTCTGCTTCCGCTGCGGAAAAGAGGGGCACAGGTCGGCCACCTGCAAGGCAACTGCTCCGCATTGCGTCGTGTGTGCGGCCAATGGTCGTCCAGCCGACCATGTGATGACGGGCAGGAAGTGCCGCCCACCCATAAAGAAGGGCAAAGTCCAGGCGCCGGTGCGACCTGCCACTGCTGCCGCCGTCACTGAAACCCCAGTTCCAGTGCCGGCCTCCGAGGGAAGTGCCATGAACACCGACTAATGGCTGGACATCGTCGACGTGTTCTACAGGCAAACACCAACCACTGCAGAGCGGCCCAGGACCTGCTGGTCCAAACCCTTGCGGAGTGGTTGGTGGATGTGGCGGTGGTCGCCGAGCCGTACTCTGTCCCTGGCAGCTGGCTGGGTGACGATAGCGGTTCGGTTGCACTGGTGACGCGGTCTTCCTCGGACTCCCCTCCTCTCTCGCTCTTAGAGAGGGGACCGGGATACGTGGCCGCCGCGTGGGGAGACATAGCCCTCGTAGGGGTGTATTTCTCCCCAAACCGCCCTCTCTCGGAGTTCGAGCACTATCTCGACGGTCTCACCAGAGTGGCAGGTAGAGTGGCGCAGCGGCGGGTGCTTGTCGTGGGCGACTTCAACGCCAAGTCGGTGACATGGGGCAACCCGACCACCGATGCACGAGGACGCGAGGTGGAGACCTGGTCCGTCTCATCCGGACTGTCTCTCCTAAATAGAGGCACAGTCCACACCTGCGTGCGGCGGGAGGGGGGCTCCATCGTTGATCTCGCCTTTGCCTCCCCTTCTTTGGCGGCTTGTGTAGTGGACTGGCGGGTGGAGCTTTTGGAGACGTTGTCCGACCACCGATACGTGCGGTTTGACATCTCCACCCAGGACTATCCTGGGGCGCGCGGTGGTCGGTCACACTTCTCGCGGTGGGCGCTCACCCGCCTGGACCGGGAGGCCGCAGCGGAGGCGGCGTTCGTCCAAGACTGGCTGTCGTCTCCTGTCGACGTACACGATGTGGATGCCACGGCAGTCCAGTTGAGGGACTCCCTGACCGAGGTGTGCAATTCTAGCATGCCCCGGTCTCACCGTCGGCCTCCTCGACGTGCGGTTTACTGGTGGTCGGAGGAGCTGACACGGCTGCGGGCCGCATGTGTGGCAGCCAGGCGGGCCTATACCAGGAGCCGGCGGCGGCGTAACCGCGACCTCGAAAACGAGGACCGCCTCTACGCGGCCTATAAAGACGCCAAGTCGACGCTGACGGCCCAAATGGGCGCCGCTCAGGATCGTGCGAGGGAGGAGATGGCTGAGGGCCTAGACGCCGATCCCTTTGGGAGGCCGTACAGGGCGGCGCGCAACAAACTGCGCCCATACGGCCCTCCATTGTCTGAGACCCTCGAGCCGACATTGCTGGATGGGGTGGTCCAGTCCCTGTTTCCGCGCAGGGACATCAACTTCACTCCACCAGTGATGAGCGCTCCCCAGGGTGTGTTCTCACCGACCGAGGAGGAGATCCCTCCAGTGACGGAGGATGAGTTCGAGAGGGCGACTCACTGTCTCCGGGGGAAAAAGACGGCTCCAGGTCCGGACGGCGTCCCCGCAAAGGTGGTGGCCATCGCCGCCTCCCAGATGGGGGCAAGATTTCGGGACCTCTTCAGTGCGTGTCTGACGCGTAAGAGGTTCCCGAAGCCCTGGAAGGAGGGCCAATTGTGCCTTCTTCGGAAAGAAGGGCGGCCGGTTGACTCCCCATCGGCATACCGACCCATCGTCTTGCTGGATGAGGTCGGCAAAATGTTCGAGCGGATCATCGCCGCCCGCATCAACAAGCATTTGTGCACAGTTGGCCCGGATCTGGCGGACGCTCAGTTCGGTTTTCGAGCTGAGCGCTCTACTGTCGACGCCCTGTCCCGACTCAAGGGGCAGGCGAGGGAGGCGATGGATGCGGGGGATGGATTGTTGGCTGTGTCATTCGACATATCCAACGCCTTCAACTCCATTCCCCACTCCACCATTCTTGAGGCGCTCCGCTTTCACGGGGTGCCTTCTTATTTGCGGGGACTCTTGGCGGACTACCTGCGGGACCGCACTGTCCTTCTGGTGGACAAGTCTGGCCAGCTGCGAAGGTACCGCGTCGAGTCCGGTGTTCCGCAGGGCTCTGTTCTAGGACCACTCCTGTGGAACATCGGGTTCGACTGGCTCTTGCGGGGCAACCTCCCCCGTGGCACGTCTGTCATCTGCTATGCAGACGACACGCTCCTCACTGCCCGGGGGAGAAATTTCGGAGAGGCGGCCAGCTTGGCCTCGGCAGGCGGTTCACAGGTGGTGGAGAGAGTCTCCCGCCTAGGTTTGACGGTGGCGCTGCACAAGACCGAGGCCGTGTTCTTCCACGGGTCCCGGCAACGCCAACCGCCTGACGCCCACATCCACGTGGAGGGTGTCCGCATTGGGGTGCAGGCCCAGATGAAGTACCTGGGCCTAGTCCTCGATAGCAAGTGGCGCTTCAGCGCACACTTCAGTGGGCTGTCGACGCGCCTATTGAGGACTGCGGGCGCCCTCTCGTGGCTCCTCCCTAACCTCGGGAGACCTGGCGACCAATGTCGGCGTTTATACGCCGGCATTCTCAAGAGCATGGCCCTATATGGGGCACCTATCTGGGCGGACTCACTGTGCAGACGGGAGAACGTCGCTGCCATCCGCAGGCCACAAAGGGCCATTGCACAGCGGGTGGCGAGGGCATATCGCACAGTGGGTTTCGCAGCGGCGTGCGCTCTGGCGGGAACCCCTCCTTGGGAACTCGAGGCTTGGGTGCTCGCCAGGGTGTACGACTGGACGGCAGAGCAGAGGGCGCTCAACCGTTCCCCGTGCTCAAGGGAACGGGAAAATGTGCGGGATGAGGTTAGGGAGGCCATCACTCGGCACTGGGCTGAGGAACTCGCCTCCGCAGCGTTTGGCCGCCGGACGCTGGACGCCATCGGGCCCGTCCTGAACGACTGGCTCGATCGGCAGCACGGCTGCCTGTCGTTTCGTTTGGTGCAGGTGCTGTCCGGGCATGGTTGCTTCGGGTCGTACCTGCACCGAATAGGGAGGGAGGAATCGCCACAGTGCCACCATTGTGGCGCCACGTTAGATACCGCAGAGCACACTCTAGAGGTGTGCCCAGCGTGGGATGAACCCCGCCGCGCCTTGGTTGCAGTGGTCGGGGACGACCTCTCACTTCCCAGCGTAATAACATCCATGCTGGGAAGTGAGGAGGCATGGACAGCGGTAGCCTCCTTCTGTGAGGACGTCATGTCACAGAAGGAGGCGGCGGAGCGCATGCGGGAAGAAGACCCTCTCGCAGCGCCGCTCCGCCAACGACGAAGGGGCGCACGAAGACGGCGTGTACTACGTCCGTCCTCATCTGCTCCAGGGGGTGATCAGCAGGCGACAAGCGCGGGGGCGCAAGCGCCAGCATCGCACGCATCACCCGTGCTCCGGCCATCATAAAGGCTCCTCCCTAGGGGGGAATTGAGGGGCCTGCCATGAGGCGGGCAGTCGCCGGTGGGGGACTGGACGTCATGGATTCCCAGACCCCCTCCACTCAGGCGAGGCCGGAGTGCCACTGGGTTTTTTAGTGGGTATACCGGGAACGACTTTACCGGGGAGTCCCACATAACCCTCTCCCGTCCCCCGACGGGAAGGGTATGCGTAATAGCATTTTTCCCAGTGCCGCAAAAAAAAAAAAAAAAAAAAGGGTTAGGTTAATCAATTCACAAATTATAAATGTCATATTTGCTGCTAACATAATTTACTTAATAAAAAGAAAATATGAACTGTTTCGAGACGATTTGATCTGACTGCACGGTTGGTATGGTGGCTGGGTAACTGACTGTCGCGCAATGTTCGATTTCCGCATGGAACAACTCTTTGTATGATTAACAAACACAGAACAGAAAATTAAGTTAACAAACTTTTGTATCCGGTCTGGGTGTGATATGTATGTGAGACACAACAAGGAGAAAGTCCTAGTGGGGAGCAAAGTTTATTTTAAGAAAAAAAAGATGTCAATGCTTGTATGTTGGGCAGAGGTTTGTAAAATCCAAACTAATATTATAAATGCGAAAGTAGCGAAAACTATGTCTCTCCGTATTTGCTTCACGCCTTAACTACTGAACCGATTTCTGTGAAATTTGGTACAGACATAGTTAAGAATTCGACAATGGACATAGCATACTTTTTGTACCAAAAATCTGCAGGAAGTCACTATTCAAAAGCTAGTAAGTAATATAATACTTGACTGTACGGTTGGCACGGTGGCTGGGTAACTGGGTGCCGTGAAATGTGACGTGGATTGGATTTCCGCATGGAACAACTCTTTGTGTGATTTACAAATTGTTGTTCCAGGTCTGATGTGCATGTGGAATTGTATGTTTGTAAACGCACCCACGACACAACAAGGAGAAAGTCTTAGGAAACTACCCAATTGTTGGTAAGCCAAATAAATATATGTATATTTTGTTAATGGTATAAGTCGGCAAACGAGCAGACGGATTACCTGATGGTAAGCAATCGGCGCCGCCCATGGACATCCGCAACACAACGAGTGCGTTGCCGGCCTTTTGGGGAAAAAAGGCAGGCCGGTTGCGGATAAAAGGAACGGGAAGGGATAGGAGGGATTGGGCCTCCGGTAACCTCACTCACACGGCGAAACATAACGCTGGGTTGTTTCACGCCGGTATTATGTGAGAAAATAAAATATAAATAAATATATATGTACAAACTTGGCGAGGCAGGCGTTGGGGTACGGCGCATGTCGCGCCCGCACGGGCAGGTGGTGCGGCGGGCAGTAGCACGGCAGCGCGGCGCCGCGCCCGCACGCACGCCGCGCGCACACCCGCTCCCCGCCGCGGCACGCGCACGCGTTGCACTCCATGTAGTACTTCTCGCCTGGAACACACCATCAAACTTACACATGCCATTTACAGACACAGAGGTACTCTTGACCCAAATGTTCAGGGTCACAGAGGTCATATGCTCTTCTCATGTAGGTAGCAAGTAGCAAACCTAGCAAGAGTACCACTGTGACCTTTTACGTGATAGGTATTTTCTAAACCTATTTAGAGAGGGACATATTATATTAAAAGATCTTCAAATAGCCAATCGTTCTAGAGCAAGCATGATGGATTATTTTTTATAGAACAAGAGGCAAACGAGCAGGCACCTGATGGTAAGCAATCGATTAATACTCAAGCCTTCTCCTTGTGAAAAGAGGCCTTTGTTTAGCTGTGAGCTCTTATAAGCTAATGAGGAGACATGTGCTGATATAAGAAGTTGTTAGACTTTTACATTGTTTCAGTGACCTACATTTACAAATAAAGTTGTACACAACACCTATTCTGGCCAAAAGTAGCAATCACAAAGAATACCACCGTCATTACAACTATTATCACTTCTAACTCAGAAAATATCAATTGACTATGTAACTTGTGATGATAATCCGGCAATCAGCGATATTTTAATATCACTAGAAGCTCAAAAATTGTTTTCCATCACATACCTTGCTTCACTTCTCTGTCGTGCAGCTGACAGTTTTCCATTTCAACGCAAGGCAAAGGCTGGCATTCCGTCAGTCCTTTATGGCCACATCGACAGATCTTGAAACACGCCTTGTGGAGGGAGGACGGCATTGGAACCCGCACCCATGAACCTACTGGTACTATTTGGGAAGAACTGTCTCCTGTGAAACATAGCAAAGTTGTTAAGTAAACTATGTCTCAAATCACTAGTTACTACTTAGATGAATGAGGGAGTTTTATGATTTCATGTGAGAGATGCTGAATAATCAACATAATTATTAAGGTTGCAGATAATTAGGTACTATATGACCAACTACAACAACTAAATATGTAAAGCACATAACATCAAGACGATAAAAGTGAAGTTACACTATAGATTTTTTTAGCTTGACTAAGCAATTCAGATTTCAAAAATACCCAACAATTTATTTGAATCCTGATTCTTCGGATTTATCATGTTATAATAGAAAGAAAGAAAGAAAGAAAAAGTATTTATTCGCGTCTGGGACGCATAAAAGACACAAAACGAACAAGATAATAAAATAAAGTTAAAATAAAAATACATTGAGCAAGGTAAAAACAATATCACAAAAGTAGACGGTAGGAGAAAAATATGCGTCCAAGCACGCGAAATGGCCCACGCTCAGCATAATGCAGCGACCCCGTACGAGACGGGTTCGCGGCGCTGATTTTCAGCGATGGCCGTCACTAACGCATGACGCCAATCTGCGCAGAAACTTAAGATAAGAAAATAAGTATTTAAATATGTTTTTTATAATTGTTTGAATAATAAACTACTACAAAAAAACAAACGGCTTATGATTAAAAAATAGAGTAAAAAAAAAAAAAAAAAAATATATATATATAGAATAATCAGAGTCGTTGACTAGATAATTTATGCTAGTATTTTTTTAACCATGCCACACTGTCGATTATTCTCCTGTTTATTGGGTGCGTTTACAAACATACACAACCACACAAGCCACCCAGACCCAAAAACAACATTTCGTGAATGACTCAAAGTATTGTTACGTGAGATAATTGATGCCGTGCAGTCAGTCAGTTCGAACAACAAAAACTCCTCACCAAGTGGGCAGCCATCAACACAGAAGTAGCGCGGACAGGTGCCGCCGTGCAAACAGTTCCTGTTGATGACACACGTCTGTGGAGCGCTGCAGGGGGACCCTGCACACGGTGACGTTACTACTTCCTTAGCCGATAGTAGGGGAGCCTCCGTACCTGCGATGTGAGAAAACCTTTATTAACTTGAGACCTTGCTTAGTTTAACAGGTTATTAATAAAAGACTATAAATCTTAAGAGTTCCAAGAAGATATCATGAAATACTGTAGCAGAGGATGTGTGATTTTTGCAATATTCCGTATTTGTCACAGTTACAAATTTGTATTTACCGCCATTCCCTTTTCACACAGTCTTTTCTGTAGACCCTTCTTAAGGTCAACAGAATGGATAAAAGAGCTTTATAAATGTTTCCTAGCCAAGCTACTAGGTGATCCACTGACCTAATAATACACTAGATGGGGTAAAATAAATAGAACCGCCTCTGTGTACTGTTCTATGCTGGTATATTAACACGATCTGACAAAAATCGAAATTGCCTTAAAGTATCACCAACGCCATCTATAGAGTTATGATACTTTTAATAATAAAATTTTTTTTAGACTAAAAATTAATATTGAACAATAAAGAAGTTTTTATACATTAGCTCTTACCACGTTTACACCATTCAAGATATACATATGTACAAAATGACGGCGCGTCGATTATTTAAATTGAATTTTGAAGGAGGTTTTATCAGTTATACTCATCAGACGAGAGTGCAGCAAATCGTACGCTGGCGGAACGTCAAACAGACAGTTCTGCGTGCTCATTATGGTGGAGAGCGAGCGCTGTGACTGCCATATGAGACGGATCGCCGACGTCCGTTATTTTTGTAGTTTATTCGGTCTGATTATAAAATCCTACGCCCTGCGATGGATTGTGAAGACGATGATCGGGATGTTGATGTTCATGTATATTGTACTCACTAGGCGACATGAACTGGTGCAGAGGCACGCAGGGCGCGCTGGGGTCGGCGGGGGTGAGGCGCGCACAGAGGGCGCGCGCCGTCAGCGTGCCGGGGACCCGCGCCCACTCCACGCACGACGACACCAGGCGACCGCACTCCTCCGCGCATAGCAGGCTACTGTGGCCCTGGAATATACGTTTAATGACTTAAGGCGTCATTCTTCATTGAAAAAATTATCTTAATATTTTTTTTGACCTTGATGTCCTGAATATGAGTACCAGGTTTCATTTGTATCTGATTTAGTAGTTTCCATGATTTTAGACTTGTATAGAAACCTAAGTTAACTAGGTAGACAAACTTTTTTACACTACATTGATAGTCCATTATCGTTCAATACTAGACTAAAGAGCCTTCTTGTATAAAGGAGACCTGCCACATAAGAAGGGTGTGTTATTTTTACATTTAACATATAAATATCTATAATCACCAGGCGTGATAGAGGCCAAATGGCTGCCCATTCCGAAATAAAAAAATAGATTTTATTGATTTCATAGAAAATTGACAAACATAAGAATTGTGAAAAGAATTGTATCAATCTAAAAAAGCCGATTATATTATATTATATTTAAAGTTGAAAGATTTCTCACCTTGGCCGTACATGGTTTGACGTGCAAAGCGCAGGCGACGCTCTTCCAAATATCAATAGGACATTGAGTAGAATTTCTGAGAGGCAGTTCCATGCCCGATACCATCAGAACTCTGGAAAATAAATTAATGTATCAATATTAATTGCATTTTATTTGAATGTAGTTAACACAAATATTACCTTACCTAAACAGTAAATATTCTACAGTTATAAAAAACATGTTTGCAAAGATTTTTGATCTTGATTATCCCTACCTACTTTTTTATTTATTCGCCAGTGGTGTCATCTGGCTATCAAAAATGATAGCACATAATATGTACATGTGAGTATAGCATAGTTATTCTACTTATAAGTGGTGCCATCTAACTTATTTGGTATAAAATCAAATGACATTAAGACTTACGTTGAAACAGCGTAACTTCCTTAAACACTTCTTCACCAGATAAATTATAGACTATTTTTACACGACTGCCCCAAAAAGGAGTTTTATGTTTTTATGGTTCATGTATGTGTATGTATGTGATTTTTTTTAAACATTAAAATGTAGATAGCGGCACTATACATTTAAGATTCGTTAGTTAAGACACAGCTAATCTATAACATAAAATGAATCGTGAAATGTGTTGGTAAGCGCATAACTCAATAACGACTGGACCAATTTTGCTGATTATTTTTTTGTTATGTTCGTTATTTTTATGTGAATGTTCTTACGAAAGAAAACTTTAAAAAAGTAAAGGGGAATATCGGAAAACAGGGGAAAGTCTGTGCTGTGGCCGTTTGCTAAAAAAACAAATGACTGACGGTGTAGACGGATACCTACCCTTGCGAAGCATGGGCAGTCCGCTATTCTTAGATAAAAGATGTACCTACCTACAAAGGTAGCTTTGTACCTAAGTATTTGACTAAGTTATTTAATAAGTAATCTTACCCACTTCCCTTCTGCTCGGCGACTGCAAGATGGGCCTCGAGGTCTGCCTGCGCACTGCAGGACCGGAACAACGTAGTCGGTCGACTGTTCAGCTGACTGCAGTATGTAAGCCCTGCGCAACCCAGGGAACATGGCGCGTCCACTGAAAACAAGAAGGAATCATCATCATCATCGTCAACGTATAAGTGCCCACTGCTAAGCAAAGGCCACTTTTCACAAAGGTTACGAACCCGCACCCTCCTGCATGAGAAGCGGGTGCCTTAACCTCCAGGCTATCACGACCGAATATCGTAAAAATATATTTTTAAAAATGTAAAACATGGTATGATTTTTTTCTGACTTGAGTGTGTTTACAAACTTACAAATTAATATAATAGTCACACCCATTTTGTGGATCACATAAAGATTTTTCCCGTGCGGGAGTAGAACCAGCGTCACGTTATGGAGTCAAAAGAATAAAAATGAAAGAGCAAAACAGAATGTGACGAATTGTCAAAGCTTATAATATGTAATTGCCTAGTTGTTCGTTAACTAAGTGAACACATTATAATTAGGTACATTTTTATATGCCAGAAAGCTGACAGTAATGTTGTGAGAGGCCCAACATCATTCTCGTAAAAGGCAACATCGCCAAACACTATAATTTCCTCTGTTTTGTGGCTGCATAAGCAAAAGCCATTGGACCACACGTAAGCGGAACAACAACATTGTTGAATATCTATTACGTTCCTGAACTTATTCCTTACATTACATTAATAAAATATTATGCTCCACACGCATTACTTCTCAACGCCGAATAAGGGCAAGGTATTTCTAGCTGATGATGCCATTATTGTAAATCTGCCTGTTTAAAACACAAAACAGCTAAATTACCGTAAGCCACCGCTAATTAGAATGCCTTATTCTAGTCAGATGTTCTCATCTGCATGGTCGACGCATCGTCTCATCAAGCCGCGGGAATTCTACATTAATATGGATGCGAGCGATTTACCATGTTTTTCTACTTGTACTTAGACACAGAGAGAAAACTATAGTGGTAATGTCAAAGTACGTAGAGTGTATGTACTTTGTAATGTATAGTTAATATTGATCCAAAAAGTCAAGAATCAAAATACTGTCGGTTTAACTTAATAAAGATAACTCTGGTTGCTACTGATTTGTAGACCAGTACTTTATCTTCACACGCATAGGCACGCTATCTAAAGATCATGACGCGATGGGGATTCGAATTTGATTACGGACATGTGATAAGCTTTATTTTATTCGTACTTTAGAAGCTTTTAACTACCCAATCTCCCATTGCCATACCATTTTTTTTCCGAATTGATAATTACTAAGTTTTACGAATACCTGCAGAAAAAGGTTCGCAGTATTTTCAATTGAAAACTAATTTCCTATAATACAAGTGTACAACTTTTAATAAAACTCACCATCGTCCATACACTCGGAGAGAGTGATCTCCTGGGGATCTCCCAAACAATCAGAGTAGAACTTCTGCCAGTTAGTTTGCCAGCCAGTGTTGAACGTCTCGAAACATAGTCGCCGACAGTTTATTGTCACTGCCTGGAACAAAGTTTACTTCGTTTTACTTTCGGTAATACTTGACTCGCTCATAATGTACTTCGTTTGCTGAAGAAATCACAACTTTGCGAGAAATTTGAGAGAAAAAGTTTGATCCCCTGTGGATCAACGTCGTGTAGCGTTCGAAACAAATAAACCGAAAAAGTTTTTGCTATCCAGTAGTGACAGGATTTAAAAAAAACCAGATTGTTATTCCAAAAAAATGTAAAATTATTAATTGTTTACCTTTTGACAACAATGCAGTTTAGCAATATCATGAGGAATCAGATCCTTTGGTTCGGGTGGAGCATCTATCTTGAGGAAACATTGCCAAAACCCGTCGAGAATCAAAGGAGCTCCACAATCCACTTCTAGAGCTTCAACCATTTCTTGCAGAACACTTTTGGTCCGCAGCACTCGCTCGCACGTCGGCTGACATTCTTGTTTGTTTGATTCGCGACAGCAAGGAAGATCTGTATTGCGATGAAGAAGGTGATTTTGAAAGATTGTAAACTTATCGTAACGTATGCAAGATACCTTGAGTGTTAAATAGCTTTGGCTTACGAAAATATTAATTATACTTTCGAAAATATGTTAGATATGGAACATTATTTGCGAATTAAGCAAAACTAATAACAGTATTAGGCAACAACACCAACATATAAACAAGCACCATTGAGCAAACGTTTGGTGTGATGTTACCTACATTTAGCTGTATCAGTAGAAACGACGGAATCAGTGAGATCTCTGAGACACCTCATTAAGTCAGGAGACTCTTCACACGACTGCAGCGCTGTACTCCTGGCCTGCAAATCAACCCGCGACTGGCCGAGACGCCACAATGCTTTCTGGCACTCCTCGTGACAACTCATGGATTGGGTCTGCGCTGCGGGAATATGGAAATACACATGTTTTATTTATACAATCTGATTTCAGATGACATTCAGATGCATTTCGTTTTGACAAAGCTTTTCAACGAAAACTCAAATAGATAGATCCTACATGAAAGTTTCTGCTAATATTTGAACATCGCGAAAAGACATAGCAAAACGAGTTTTATCAATAATTTCAAGAAGACACTTTTAATCAGTTATAATTATGTAATTACAATTTACTTCTGACAAATTGCTATTTTAATAGAAAACTTTACTGGCGTATGGTTTACACTACACTAACGGATGGGTCATCTGTGTAATAATTTCACTTTGTAAATTTAAACCCATATTTATTAGGTATATTTTTATTGGGAATCTTTTTATTTTTTTTCTTGTAGTCACAATGCATGTTATGTATTCTTATGTTTATGTTACTATTTGATATTCTACATATTTGAAATTGGTGCCTGCATTCTATTACAATATTACGTTATAGAACTCAAAGTCTGAGAACTGCACGTCGATTCTATAAAATTTGTTTGATTTTGAATCTTGTTCGTGTCCGAAGTGAGCATCTATCAAAATGTTGCTGTCAATTTAGTTCAATTCGCAAGTGTAGCGCTAGTGTACTACTACTCACGGCGGATTCAGATTCAAAGTTTAGAGTGAAGTCTTACAGAATCACACTACTGAACTCAAAGTAAGAGACTGTTTGTTTCCTAAATAATAAATAAATAAATAAAAGTTACACAATAAATTCGAATAAAGAATCTTGTGTCAAAATTAAACAAACTGCTGCAATTAACCAATTTACCCCAATTAATATGTATGCCGTTTCAGCGAATTCTGTACTGTATACTCACAACAACAATGCTGTGCCTCCTGCTGCCGTTGTACGCAGTCGAAGAAGGCGATCTCATCGGATCGACGACATGCGCCGGCGCCTATCAGAGCGCTCTCGTTGGATGCCATGGCGCATGCATGCCGGCAGGACGTCATTCTACCGAGGGAACAACACGCTCGACCCCACCAGCCAGAACCAGACACCACTTCTGCTTGAAAATTAAATATTAACTAATTAATGTAAGAACAAAAACACTCTGTACCTTATTCAATGTATTTGCATGATATTAGGAGCATATTTAAAAAAACAAACGAATATTACCTTGAATCGTTTTATTCATACATATCCAAAATTCAATCTGGAACAAAAGAATCACGAGTAAAATTACAGCACATAATAATTATAGGAACCTATCATTTGTAAATCAAATTACGTCTTTTTATGTTTTCTTTTCTTATCTTCCATTGTTTGAAGTAACTCTATACATCGGGATCTGCTTTGTTGGGGCAGGAAACTTTATACCCACCCCAATTACAATACAATACTGATAGGCGGTTTATTGACAAAAATGAATGAAGATTTATTTCAGAGAGTAAAGTGAAGCCGGCGGCTTGGAACTGTGATTGTGCTCGGATCGTATCGCCTTACCGCCTACGATCGGCACTTGATGCTAGTTTATTCATGGACTAATGTTTTTGGTAAGTGCTTTCAAGTGGTTTGGCGTCCCGCGTCATCTCTTAGTTATTGGTGAGGAACTATTATGAGTACACTGCACTAAATTGTTAACAATATTATCTATGAATATTCGAACTGCTTTTTTATATACATTATTGTATACTTACTAATCGTGGCGTACAAAATCTATAGATGTTCGGTACCCATTGTTCGAACGTTGATGAATTTGATGCAATGTCTACAAGAGACATCTGAAACAGAAAATATTAAAGGATTAATAGGTACATTATTTATAAGTACATTACATTTTTAGTACATATGGTATGGTAGACTCATCCTTTAATTAGGATCAATAAATAATACCTACAGCCATACAAACATTAACTGACACCCTCATATCTGGTTTCCTCGGCGCGCAATAAACAAACGGCATCACGCAAAACATATCCACATCCTGGTAATTACATCGAATTGGTACTAACTCGGGATACCATGTAATAAAAGTTGCGCAACTGCCGGCATACATGTTAGTGGTTAATAAACACGTGTTCCCTGCGAGGACGAGCCACCATCACATAAGAACACGAAGAAAGGTCCACCTGGAATTGCTTTACAAACGACCAAACTTTCTCCAACTAAACAGTAATAACATAACGTAGGCACATTTTCTATTCCCTGAAGAGAAATGAGCCTAAGAAAGATTACTTAGCTCGGAAAGTCAAATAAGTAGGCCGTCACATATTTCAAAAACTCTACAAAGCCAGTTCAAAATGAAACTATGAAATTAAAGACCATCATTTCTTTATGTTAAGCTAAAGATCATGTTTCAGGCCAATGTTGAGTATTATTTCTAATTTTTCTCCCCTGCTATAAATCATTCGGTCTTGAAAAAAGTTTATTTTTTGAGTCAATGTTGTGCTCACACGTATTACACCCGCTTAATGACATTAATTGATGTCCGGACATCGCTACACGTTGCTCAACACGAAGCGCCGCGACCGCGTCCCTTTTAAAATATCCAATTACATTATCAATTTAGATGTCTCTCGTTACATTTATTAATTAAGACTTTGGGTAACCAGCAATACACTTGTTTTGTAGCATTTTATCTTAATAACTTCAAGTTCATTGACTGTTTTGTTTTTGTAGTGTCAGAAACCTACGCACTATGTTTAATGTAGACAAAAACTTAAAAACTTTCAACATTTAAATTCCTCATAGTAACAACAACTACTAATTACAATTAAGTAATTTATTTAAGATCAAATTAAATAAATTACGTTTCTTAACTTTCCGTATATTTAAGAAAAATAAAACATGTTGTAGTTTGTTTTGACACGCTGTTTCATCGTAGCTCTCAAGTTATATTCGCTCTCGTACGCGTACATTTTGAAAAGTTGTAACATGTTACGTTATATTACCATCATAAATAATCTTCCTGGCAACATAACAACATACAATATACGTGTTTAAAATAATGTTCCATTCCGTTAGGTCATCCATTTTTAATTTTGACGTGTCAACAAACAGCACTATACGTCCATTTGATTCAAAGAAAACGTGTCGTGAACGTTATGTCAAAATTTATGGAAGCAATCACATTTATTAGATAACCCTACGATGCTTACGAAATCACAGTAATATGCATAAATAACCGAGATGTGCATCTGGTGGGCTGCGTTATCTGAGAGTCGGCGCTATAGGGTTATCAGCGTAGCTCTAGAGGTGAGCACACACTACATAAACACACACGATGTCTGCTCCTGATAAACATTGTTTAATTATTTTTCTAATACTTCAACTTGTAAACTGTAATAAGTTCATGAAAGGTGAAACGACACGAGATTGATATTACAAAATCTGCAGACTCTGATACTTTCAAAACCTTTTTTTTGTTATATCAATAGCGCTATAATTTATTCAATAAATAAAATTGATTCTTTATTATATATTTAAGCCTAAATGTAATTTGAAAATAATCTGATGTTGCATCTTATAAACAACTGTATAAATGTTCACAATATTTTTCAAGAAAAAATCATCATGAACATTAGAAATCAAATAACAATAATTATTATGCGACACAGTTCTGCAAAAAGAAACAGCCATCATTTAGAAGTTAATCGCCTATGCTGACAATTTCGAGTGCATAATTTACGATATTTTCTTTAGTGACGAGAGGCAAAGACGTGAGAGTTTAAAAATACGAACACGAAGACACGACCATAAAATAAAAAGGTATCTATGCATTTTTTCTCAGCTATTAAGCTGTCACAAAAAGATCACAGTGTAAATATTAAGTTGTGAATGAACAACATAAAGATACCTTTGAGCTCAAAGGGCTTATGGGACATTAACTTTAATGTCTCTTACGTCTTAAAAGCGCCGGGATATCGAATAATGTCATCGATTAACCTATGGGCTCGGGCCTCGCACGAGAAGTGTCGGAACAATGATCATTGTATACAAATCAGATGGTGCCAACAAGACCAATTCAACCCACACTATCTGCAATCACGGTTTATACTTCGACAATCGACGAACTGCAAATTGGTATTCAACAACAAGTTGAATGTTAATGTCATATTTTATTTTAAAACATCATCAGTAAACAGACTGCGTACCACTCGTAAAATAAGCAGAAATGATTGCATAGCTTTATTAATGAATTCCTGTTCTAGCTCATTACTATGCCAATTCAAATTAAGAGCCTTTCCTTCTTAGCGTCAGCGATTTCATAATTTAAACGCCCACTTAAGAATTAAAGCACTGACGAGATCCATCCTACAGCTCGCTTTATAGAAAGCGATTGATTTTTATCAATGCAAATGATATAATAAGTTGTACGTTACGTCAATAAGTTTAAAAAAAATACTTGCCTAGGTTGCCTGTTGCCTGACCTAAGTATATTTTATTGCTATTTTTCTTTCCTCCGAAATAAAAACAAAATATTGTTTTGAAATGTAAACTAATTAAAACTCACAAACTCTGTCAACTCTGTCCGGCGTGAGTCACGTTGAAGTCGGCAGACAACTTTTAACCGACATACTATAAGCGTTGGCAGCATTCACCGCCGTACTCCGATATAACTTCCTAATGCGACAGACACAATTAAACACTCGCAGAATAGACTCGAGAACTTCATTTCATTTACATTTCTGCATCTCTCCGTACCAACAAGATACAGAATGTTCCAGTCATTCCTAGTAATAGCACTAATTGAAAATTTCTTCAATAACATCTACAATTAAACTTGATCGATCGATCCTAGGTCTGATCGAAGACAAATACTTTAAAGTCAGATATATTACAGTTCCCACCAGCAAGCCAAGAACAAACAGTTCAAACTAACAGAATTAATTGTAGAACTGCCGTCTGCAGACTAGATCCAGACGTACTCATATTACAAGTAATTCCCAAAAAAAAAAACATTTAGTATTCAACCCACAACGACAAATTTTATCAATCATGGCAGAGAATAAAAAGCTCGCTTAAACAATAATACGAAGGTGGTCTCCCATGGTATTAGCATGGAGACAATCGGATGTGGTTGACATCATTGCGCTGGCATTGACGCCATGACAGTTGACACGTCCTGTGATATACGTGTTCAGAATGTAAGCTTTTATGCAAGTATTCGACCATCACGTGAACCAATGTACTTCCTGGATATTACCAATATAAGTTATGTTACTCGTAAGCTATGCAGCTATTATAATCCCGCGGATTACATTTTATTGTTTTTCTAATTTCCATATTTACTTCTAAATCCACAAGCGTTAATTCATGTAATCCTACTTTAAATTTCTGTCACCGTGGTCGGTCATCATAACCGTTATATTCTGATCATAAATCTACTGTCGCCTCGTAGTGGAAACAATTAACTTTGTTGTAAGTATTCTAAGCTTGGCGTCAACGCGACCAACACAGCTCATCAGTTTCGCGCGGCCATGATAGCATTGCATCAGATCATAAATCAAAGAAATATATCTTGTAAACAGGAGTTGTCACCTTTCACTTAGTTTATTAGCTCTTGGTTTGCTCACAAATAGCTAGCACTCAACATTCATGCCGGTAGCTTGTTCCAAATGATCGCGGATGAAGACCTGATAACAGCGAGGTCCTCGACCTAAGTTCTGTGACAAATAGCACCATTAAGGAGCCGCGAAGACAATGAATCTATTAGAATTCGGAACGCACACACGACCACCATTCTGCATATACAACGTAATAGTAATAGCTCTAATAAAATTTAACTGCTCTCTGGTGCATTTTGCGGTGAATTCGCGCGTTACCCTGCTCGTATGTGATTGGTTCCTGTTGATTACTCATGGTTTCATATGATTAAATGTATATGTATATAGATACCTCAATATTGGAAGTATATTGATCTCAATACTTCCAATTAAAAACCCATTAATTTACACTTTCTCCTACATTTCATTATATTCCACTCACCGTATGCCTTTTCAATATACTTCCAAAACGCTATTTTACAATACTCGTAGTAATTACTCTCAGAATTCAAGCGACACTTTAAAGTACACTGAGCATATATATGTCAAGATAAATGTTTAATTAATACCCAGCGCTTCTTTAAATGAATGTTTTGTTTCTCAAGTATAAAGCTATTTAAATTAAGCGGTACACCAATCGATTTAATCTACGTTTTGGTCAACAAGACATGAAAAATAAATACGAAACATATTAAATAATGAAGAGCACTTCCAAAGATTTCTTATTATAGTTAGTAGGTAGGTAGTAAATAAAACATTAAACTGTGTTGCGTGTAATGTCCTGAGAACAGAGTTAGCGCTGCCACCTGTGATGTGAATTACCTTACGACGCAAGCCTGGCAAACACCAGGTGTCAAGCATACATCACGGTGATTGAACCTTGATTGCTTAAGCAAACGCAAACATCCCAGAATACTCTTACTACACTTTCCTGATGATGATAAGTACCTACATACCTAGACCACTCCATTAGCTTTAACTATATCATTAGATCAATTTAATAGGTAATACTTTCAACAGTAATGTAATTAGCACAACACCTAGGTAATAAAAATGTCGAATAGCATTTCAGAGCTAATTAAAACACAAAGGGTTTTCAGTTGACATAATAAAACGTCGCTACCAGTGTACTCGGAACGACGCCCTAAATAGTTTAGCAACTACCCGCCTGTAATTATTGCCACGGGGAACCCGACGGCGCGTGGCGACCGGCTACTGATGTGCCCAGGGCTGTCACAAGTGCAATTGCCACAACGTGTATGTTTCAATTGCTCAGCCATGGAACAAAAGCGTTCAGAGTATCGGGACATTTTTGTTTCGTATTGTTCCAATTTATCACCGTCAAGCTACAACAAACAGCACCGAAATAGCAAACCCGGGACAAACTCGGCCAGTAATCAAAGGACGGAATCAAAACGGCGGCTCCGCAACAGCTTTGATGTTTCTTTGTAAATTTGTTCTGATGCCATTCCTATGCCTTGATTTACATACCAGCCTACATGGTTCTTTTAGAAATAACTGACTTTGTATTAATTCAAACGCGTCAACTAACATAGCTTTTCTACTAAAACATTTTATATTCTCATATGTAGAGGAAATCGAATTTTAACGTTAATTTCAGTTTGTTATTAAAATATTCAATATTGAAAAAAATGTGGACCGTAACATTGATGACTTATCTGTAAATTATTTAATATTTTAAAACATTTATAAAGTTGGACTTGTATTTACAATAAACGCTTTTGTTGGAAGCAATAAAGTTTAGCCAAAACGTTTAGAAACGTCACGAGACCGACGAAAGCGCAGTGATTAACGAGCTGGTGACGTTCTGCTCCCTTCCTCTCCCAACCTCCCCATAAGATGTTCTCGTCTGATACAATAATAATGTGGTATCTTCCCATTCACTGCCATCTCATTTTCCACAGTAGCAAGTTTACTTTTTACAGTCAAACATCAAAATGTTTCTTGCGAGCTGCGTAGGTACATAATCAACAACTGATTTTGATACTTAGTATGTCAGGAAACATTTTTCCCTATCGCGGTCGCAACTAGGACGATGAGATGGGCGACAGACACATTTTAAAATAAAATTGTCGCTGAAATGAGTTTATCTTATTTATAGTAGCAGTGCATTATGCCCTATACATAGGTCTCGTACCACTTTGAAGTTAAGATTTCTAACGCAGTTTAAGTAAATTTGGAATAAGTTTATCTTCAAGAACAAACGTTTTAATTGTAGGTGCGGAGTGACTAGCTCTCTTCCAACTCAAATATGAGTGTCAATTTTAATAAGATATTACGTATCGTATTCCCAGAGTCGCGGTGTCGCGGACGTGGGACGGACGGACAGACATGAAAGGATTTCAGACGAGTCTATTTTCACCCGCTTTGAACCATCGGACGTATTTGTTTGTTTGTATTCGCAACTTTCAAGTTGAAGGGGAATGTGCGACGGATTATGATATTGCTGACTTTAGGACGAATTTATTTCGTAATTTATAGCGTGTCATAATTATTTTTAGGCTGACAGGTCGACAGTTAAAAGGTCGAGTTTACGATTCTAAGGAACTAATTCTGTCTGAATACCCTGTTTAGTCACATGTTAATTATTAATAAAAAGTAATTGTATTGAGTTGTTGGTTGAACATTGAATTTATAAGTACTGTAATCTTAATAAAATTCAGAATAAAATTACATTTAAAAATACTTTAGAAAGCAACATAACATTATTTGGACATCTGTTACATATTATTCAAGCGGACAGGCAACGTGAATGTCGGGTAAACGCCACTAAAGTTGGGGGTACGTGATCGGCATCCAATAGATTCGGCCTCGGTCTCGGCATCCCGATCACGCTTAACAAATTCCCGATACTGCGGGACCGCGGCGTGATTGTCACGGTTGACGATCGCTGTAACGAAATGTCACGTGCATCCTAGTCCCCATACACCATGTAAATGTGTGGACGAGTTGACTGCGACATGAGTAATCGTGAGCATTACCGAACAGTGCACACAGCTCTGTTGAATATTTATTATAATCGGACTTTGTTAATGTAAAGAAAGGCTTTCGCCCTAGCTTGACCACCCATTCCTAACTAAATGAAAACATATAGGTGTCATATAATCGAGTAACATGTAACGGAACAATGTGGGCGACACAACATAACACCATTACGGAAAACAAGGACTTTTTATATATTTGCCGGGTGTCTGACTCCATATGCCCTAACCATCAATTCACATTGACGTAATCCAGGACCGACAACTCGGTGACAGTTTTATGTCGGTGATAAATTATTTTTCTGTTTCATTCTCATTTTCGCGTGTGTCGTCAAAATATTTATGGTGTACAAACAGATTTAAAAACGTTCGTGACAACCTGGGTCATTCGCAGCGCGAATCAAAGAAGCCGCTATCTTTGATCTAGTCGACTGAAACTGTACTGCGCGTAGTAGGTTGGTACAGCTGAAAATATTATTGAAATGTTTTTTTCATTCGGTCAACGGACCATGTATAGCAATCTTGTAATAGACGACATCAGTTTCAATGAATGCTAACAGTAACAAGTACAAGATTGCGCTTCGTGTATCTAATAAACTAGCTTGTTCACGGGTCGAGTAAACCATTACGTTGATAGGGTTGTCAAACACTACGGAGCATCAAGATCGACCTATGAACAACTTCTTACTACTCGCATATTCAGTTTTATTTGGTGGATACATAGAATTGCTATCATTTTTAATCGTTCCTTTTTATTAGGTATTGGTGCAGCTATTTTGACCGACGCGGTCGTGGCATTTCACACTCAAAGTGTTTTTCTTCTTTAATTTTAATTTGTAACTACAAATACATTATAATAATAAATTAGCGTCGGAATGTTTAGCTCTAAAGTCTAAGCTCATTGTGTCGCGAATGTGGTGAGTAGACACGCTCGCTAGATTCATCAATGCCACTCTAGAAATTCCACAGCTTTTTATTAGATTGTTACATCTTAATAAACACACCACATGTTCGTATACCTACGCTATAAAATCTACAACTTTATCAAATAACATTACGTTACACTTTTTTTATGAGCCAGGCCAGCAAAAGAGACGGACTACCTGATGATAAGCAATTGGCGCCGCCAATGCACACCCGCAACACCATAAGAGTTTACAAGTGCGTTGCCAGCCTTTTGGTGATTAGGGTTTCGGAGATTTAAGAATTAAGGAAAGAAAGAAGGACTTACGATTCCAGTAACCTCATTCTCACGGCGAAACAACGCTGTGGTTGTTTCACGCCGATTTTCTGTGGTGGTATCACTCCGGTCGAGCCGACCCATTCGTGCTGACGCATGGCTCTGCCATACCTTTATCTCCTATTATAAAGGATAGACTATTTACGTGTATATTTTTCATTTACAAGAAATAGAAACCAAAACCGAAACGGCTTTCACAGTAATAAACTCTGATTTTGATATAGTCAAATCAAATCGGGTAATTTGTTTTATTCATCTTTTAATAGTGAGATATCCTGCGAGCACCGGATGGAACGCCGCCATAAATAAATTCTGAGGGTTACAAAAAACATTTTGTGTTGAAGAAGTCTCCGTTTCCTTCATTTCAAGATATTTGTGAAGAATGCGTAAGCCCCAAACTAATATATAGACAACAAACTGATACTATTTCAAGGTACCTATATTATTGAATGTCTCTATAAATTTTGTAAATTTCTTTGCAGCTAATAAAATTTCTTCGCTGTCATCAGATAGCCGAACCATATACATAAAAGTTTATAGGTTCATAATATTTACGTTAATGTGTTCACCGTTTCAGGAAAAACCCCTTGAAATACTACTCACTGTACAGGTTTTATTCCAGCTACGTTTTGATGTCATTACCCTGATGTCCACCCCCACAGTAAAATGGCTGACGCTGTTATTAAGCCATTATATTGGATAGCGGTGCCTTGTCATCTAGCACTAATTACACTCGTATTCGTGGTAAACAACATTTTCATGACAAATTACAGTTGAGTATGTTTGTCAATTAATCATTTTTCTATTCATAGAAGGCATATTGTTTTATATCGGTTCAATTAATTGACAAAGCCCTTTTACTAGGGGTTAAGTACATTTAATGGCTGGTTTAACGAGCAGCCACTTTATTTAGATTGTCTCCATCTCGACCCCGCTTCGTTGTGACGTACAAAATCACCGGATGAATTAGGGTTATTGGTATATTATCGTATCGATTATCAAGAAAGTATAACATATGTCGAGACATTACTAACATTTATGAATAAAATAATATTGAATTAAAATCTATTTTGTTTCTTGTGTCTAAGTTTTAGTATCCATTACTCGATTGTATTGAATGTCTTAAGAATGCTGGTCAGTGGTTATAATAAAAGTTTATCAGAGACATTTATGAATATAACAAAGTATCGATGGTGGCACGTAACTTATTCAAACAGTGTCGCGGGGGAGGAAGCGGCCGTCACGCGGTGTTCCCTAACAAGACGGAATTAAATACGAATGTATTAGTGCACGGTGTTCGTCTCTTCTTACACGTTTTAATAATTTAACTTTTATTCACTCGACGCGCTTTCTCAGAACGGACCGCGCTGTGACGTGATTCTTGATTAGAATCGATGCGTCAGCTCGAATAATTCTCTTAGCATAATATTTCAATAACACAGGAAGACACCACCGAGGAAATCATAGATGATTTCATAGATGTCAACGTCTTCTTTATTTGTTTTGTGTTTATAGATGAAACGTTACTTCAAAGACGCGGACGGACACTATAAAAGGAATTCAAAGAGTAGCGTATCTTTTGTGGTTTCTGTACATTACCATTATGTTGAACAAAATATTGAATGACCTCGACAGACGCGGATAAAAATATACGACGACCGAAAACTTTTGGGGAAGCGATAAATCTATTTAATTAGTCAATTTAGCTTTCGAGTGAAAACTTTGATTGGAAATCTTTTGGGATTAAGAATATTTAGCGGTTGAGTAGACCGCAGGTGCGGTGCGGAATACCCGTGTCCGCGTTAACGAAGGATTCCTACATGGTTAAGCGGTACGTGCCTGATATGACACGGTCAACGGCGCGCGAGGGGAAATGTAATCGATTGGATCGAAGCTTTAACATGCAGCACTACGACACTGGAAAATGCGGTCAAGTTATGGAGATTAGCTACCTTCTCACATACGCTGCGACACGTCCCCTCGGCTTTGTCACAGCAAGCTGTTATGTCTGGAACAAAATTAGAAACGTGAATACAGAATGTTTTATAGCATGCAAGTTATTTGTATAGGCGAGGGATCAGTCGGCTGGAGCACAACAGCTGGTGCCAGACCACAATAAAGTAGCTGTGACAGTTACAGATGACGGTATAAAGCTTTTGATCTATTTCCTCTAACGACCGCTTTTATTCATATCACTCCCAGTTATTGCACGATTTAGATATCGAGATGAAAACGAACCTCAAACTAATGGACGTTCTTGACCTGGAAATTCTGATTCTCACGTTGATTCATTCAATGTTTGTACCCCTTAAACATTTAATGCTATGAATAATATTTGAGCCTACTATCTTAAGACGAAAACACTTTTAACTGTTTCAACAAATCCTTATTACCAGATATCCAAACAAGCAAAACAGGCTCAAATTGAATAAATCCAAAATTATAATGCAAGCGTCTATATTTTGCTGGATACGAACGTAATTACTTTCAATACAGAGAGAAAGCAGTAGATATTTACAAAGTTGTTGGCAAACCAGTTTAATAAGCCAATCCCCAAGAGCCCGATTTTGTTAGAACCAAATTATAGGAAGCATACCGGATCTAGCGTACCTACCTATAGTTAGGCTAGATCTACACTATCGCGCTCTTGGATCTCAGAGCTCCTACTACAAATATTGGAACGGACTGTAATCAAATTTGATTCGGACGTTTCTGTGCTGCTTTACGAGTCTGAGAACCGACTCCAATAACGATGTTAGCTTACAATACTACAATAACCCCTTATAATAATAGAGTTAGCAAAGTTGTAGTGCTAGAGGCTTACACGAAATTAATTACAATATTTTTTCTAAACCTTTCAAATTTCATCTTCTATTATTTTTACTGAAGAATGATTGTTAAGACTTATCTTTGACTGAATTCTCTTGGGACGGAACTCTTTGCACATTAATCAAACCATTTTTGTAACTAAAGTTGAGAAAAATATTTATCTGAAGTATCTTAAACTAGACGACAGTGTACTCCGACCTCTTTAAAGGGATAACTCAGTTCAGACCTGTGATTACACTGTCGCTAAACCGGATAATCGCATCACATTCTATACAGCTATGTCTTCACTATAACCTATATTACTAAAACCGTATAAGACACCGGTATTGCCACTCAACGCAAAATATAGTTATAAAGGGCTATTAATAATATCCTCTTCAAGCCAGCAGCGCGATAAGGATATTTACTGATCGAATTCCAAAGGAAATGTTTCTTGAAATTACGAGAAAAGTTGATCCCGTGCATTGGAAGCTAAAACACACACTTAAGTGCTGCAGTTTGGCGCCTTTCCGCCCTGCTAATGTCATAATTTAAACGTATGACGGTCTCTCAGTTCAAAAGAAATTAAGCTCTATTGAAATGAAATACAAACTCCTTGCAACATGATCCTTTTTTTTTATCTGTCTCAGTTGCTAGATTCTCATTTTTCTGTGACTGCTCAGTGACTAACGAAACTTTATTACGTATTTTTAAATTAAATCAACTTCTGTTAACTAATTGATTTAAGTATTTCTCTTTGTAGTAGGTACCTTAACTTTTCTCGCAAGTTCTGTGGGACTTTTCTTTCGGACTGGAATTTTATTTCGAAGAAGACTGATAGAAATATTATTACTTTTACAATACCCAAAACGATTTTATTTCATCGAAAATATGTGTAATTTGAAAAGTTGATGGTCTATCCGTACTTATACAAAGAGCGCTTATAGAGGAAATAACTTACGTTGCGAATTTACACAGGCCAGTGTAACGAGCAGGAATATAAAGCTAGATTTAAGCATATCGTCCTGCCGTCTTCGAAATCTGCTGCAACTTTTAATGGTCTCGTCCATGTTTTCCAATATAAGCGTTTCAATATTCTTCTACATCTGAAACATACATACAATTGCTTAACTTAGTATAACAAATAAAGTTCTTAACGATGTAAATATTGAAGTATATTTGATAATTTCCTGCAATCTTAATATTACATACAATAAATGTTTTTAATAGTTACTATTATGACACATTCTTAATTTATTGAAAATAATGACTTGGTCACACGTGAATTTACAGCAGCGTGCGCCAATAAAGTCCCGATGTGACTTGAAACTGAGTTTTCCTCGGTTAACCCAAGTGATTAAGTCGTTATTATCAATAATTATACAATCAACATAGAAATATTATACAAGTACCTACAATTATTCCCCTGATCTATCTGATTTGCCTTTCTTATTTGAACATATTTATTGACATCATTTTCCAAGTATTTCATTTTACATCCAGTGAGCGTCAGTCAGTCGGTAGAATCTGATTGTTATAAATAGATGGGGTACTAAATATTGTACAAGCACAATACACCTACATTGAGTCATCGCAGATAGGATCGCCAATAAAATCAATAGCATCAATAAATCAAGCAATCCCTACGTGATTGATGTCCGATTAAGTACACTCGCATCCACAACGCATAGTGATGGACACATTTAATTTTTATTACTACGAACAGTGATTTAAATTGACCATAAATGGAAAAATAAATATCTACTAAAGGCAACAAAGTCGCGGTATTATAAAAATAAACATAAAAATAATGAACCCTTCACATTTTGTGGGCCGTTAACAAATCATATTAGCGTCTAAACATAGTACTTTATGGCCCTACCGGCGTGTAACGTAAGCTTTTGATATCAAAGTCGGTGAGAGGAACAGTCGTTAATTTATCACATTACCGCCTTTATCGCCGTGTTGGGACTAATTAGAGCGCGTTCTCGTTTACAAGTACGACACGGCTGAGACTCGTACGTTGCACTTGATTAAATGTAATAGAGAACAGAGATATTTGGCAGTTTACATCGGCACGCGTAATTGAACATTTTACGAGTCTGTAAACGTTGTGGTGACGCCAAGTTCGTAAGTGGTCCTCGCTCCTTATTAAATTGTTGTAAAGGAAGAATGTGATTAAATGTGTATTAAGAACTTAATAATAATTGTTGCTTTTCCTGTATTCGGTTTCAGTTCTAAATATAGGTGTTACAAACAGAGTGGAACTGACATCAAGGAGTAAACCGGATAACGAAATCATTAGTAAATTAATGAACACCGACGGAAAAACATTTTCATTTTCCCGTCACCGTTTGAAAAAAGAACGGGCGTTAATAAACTGCCACAATTTTTGGCGTCCTTTATTTTTTACCATCTTAAAATTAATCAGGCAGCTATGCGACCTACATACCAAATGTTAATTAAATAGTCGGCGAATCAAACAGTAGTCCGAGGACTTTAACAAATGTACGCAAACACATGGAACCGGCCACAGTAACATGTGCTCACATTAATGTGTAGTACGTGCAACATTTGCGTTCACATTCGTCCCAACTTTTCGCACAAATCAAAGCAAAACCGTCGGACCATGAGAATCTACCAAACTTAAATAAAAATGCTTTATAGCTCTACACGGACTCAACTTGAAGTAAACTTAGGCTTTTACGCCGTAAAGTGTTGTCTAGAAGTTTGTCTTTGAGAATGTTATAGCAACCACCGTAAATATTTGAAAAGGAATTTAAACTTGGATTTCCCTAATGCAAATTAAAAAGTTTATGGTTGTGGCTGCTGTGAGGAAATGGGGTTCGTAGAGTTGAGTTATTTGCAGGAAGACTATTGTGGAATGAAAATGCTAGGTAAATCTCGCTGATGCCTCGTAGACTCGAAGGTTCGTAGATGAATAAGTACCTACTCCGACTACACCAGGCTCGCCCATAGATTATTGTTAGAGTCAAATGTAAAAATGTTTGTGTCCGTGTACATTTAGGTATGTAATTGAAATTTTATATCTTTAAATATTTTGGGAATTCCATACTAATAATGGTAACAATGTTTTTTTAACAACATAACTAAGTATATAGTCTTAAACAACGTTGGTTTTTCTGTACCTATGCCTATGTAGGTACGCTTAAATCTTTAAAACTACACAACGAATTTTGATGCGGTTTTTTTTAATAAAGAGAGTAATTGGAGCGAAATTTGAACCTATAATATATCGAATAATTAGTGGAGACATTTAGTATCAGCATTGCATCCGTGCGAAGCCGGGGCGGGTCGCAAGTTAGTAAGAAATTAACGTTTCATGTCATGACAATGAATCGGAGAAAATGTACCAAAAATCCGGCTTGTACATTATAACGATCAAAGTTGACGTTTTATTGCTCCCTTAGAAACTACTAGTATGTCACTTGCCTCCATAAAAGATTTTAGCTTTTGTATAAGTAATGTTAATAGCTGTACTTTAGAAGAAAAGTTTACTGAAGAACCAATGGAATTCAGGTTCACCTATATCTTTATTACAAAAGGTAAGCTCGAGAGATAAAGAAGATGTCTAACAAAAAATATTAAGTACGCACTACACAAATCACATTCGTGTACTAAATTGTTATGAGAACCATGCAACACATATCAACGCAAACTTTTAGTGAATATTTTATAACACTGTCTGAAAGGCATTACTTTTATGGCAATTCTTTTCTATTTCTTATTTATAACAATATCAACAATATCAAGTGTTGTTTATGGTAATTATTATTTTTTAGTTTTTATACATAATTATCTTTATGCATCGTATCATATTTTCTATCTTTCTTTCATTGCAACGCAGTCATACTAACATGAAATAATTATGTTACCTACTCATGACATTGAATATGTATATATACCTTTTCTAAATACTGAATATAATTTCCTGAAGCTATTTCAAAAAGCTAGTAAAACTAGTAAGGTAGGTACTTTCTTTTTTTTAATATCAAATTTCAGATCACGCTATTTTTTAAGTTCATAGTTCATTAGCGACCAAGCCTAGTTTTATCATAGATAGTAATTTAAATTAATAAATACTTCATTATTTGGGTTAGGTAGGTAATACCTATAACAAATTGCCAAGACTTAACTTCTTACCAAAAATATGACAAATGAACAAAAAAAAAATATTTACGAATTACACATTCTGTTTCTGATATAAATAATTCCTTAGTCATGTTACCAATTAATTCTAAAATCTTAGATCTCACACCGGTTGTAAGTGTAATTTATTTAAATTCATTGTCATTAAAAACATCAAAGGGAAAATTTTCTTTGGGAAATTAGATCACAGACAAACTGACAGTCATTACTGAAGAATTTCAAATCAGTATTACACAGAGATGTACAGATTATTATGAACACCAAGCAATGTTATTTCCTTTGATATTATTTAATTTATTTAATTTTTAAAAAACAATGTAAGTACTTACCAAAAATTAATGAAATATACTGTTGATTCTTGTTTTCTTCTAATTATTTTAAGTCCATTTTATGAAGCGTATCTTTCAAATTAGTAGTGAAGTCTCCAGACATGCGTTATCGCATTTGTTTGTTCTTAATCATGCTTCAGAATTTAAAATTTCGTTACACAATTTGTCACAACACACCACTTATTTTATTTCGCGCGCAAACCAAAAAAAAAACTATAAACAATAAACTGATACCAAAATGTTTAGTTTTATTTTTTTAATTTCTATAGTCACTGTATTCGCGATGATATTATTCGCGCGCTTTTCGTTATGTTCCCACTGTAACCTCCCTCACAACCTTTCTCGCGCCAAATTGACGCGTTACTAAATAGACCGGCATAAATTCATTCAACTCCAGCTTCTACAAGCGCCGTCCTTGTCACTCGTGAGACTAAGTGTATATTGTTATCGCCTTCTAACGCTTCCGCCTGATGAACCCTATTGAGCTCGTTAGTCATTAATTAATTCTGCATAAGAAAATTACTTTTAATTTAAACAGTGCACAGATGTGACCAATTTTGTTATGTTACAAAGCTTGGTAATAAACTGTTTCGAGGATTTTTTTCAGTACATTATTATGATTTATTGTACTTTGTTGAGTTTTTTTGAGTTTATATTAAGGGCAATTTTATTACGAATGTTAGCTAGTTAGTATATTTTGTTTTAAAAATAATATCGTAACTTAAAAAAAGTTTAAAGTGGGTTAACATGTTCATTAGGTCTTATTTTAATTGATTTTTATCCTGTTTTTAATAAATGATTAGACGTTTTTTCTTAATCCTCTCAAAATTAAATTATACTTAAAAGTACATATTTATATTTGAACTCGGATGAACGACTACAATCCTTGTTAGCACCGGACAGCTACCTGCTGAAAGTCAAGTGCTACAAACGTGGGACAAACGAACAGAATCCACTTGAGCAGTGGAGTGGCGCCAGGCAACACGATTCGATTTATACAAATGAAACAGCTTTGCTTCAAGATAAATAAAAAAAACTTTTTAATTTACAAGGCAAAGGTATAGGACCTTTTTAAACAGAACTAACTTTCTAATCTTGGATATAATAAAAGATGAGTAGAAAAAAAATACCTTAGCCGAACACAGACCAGTTCAAGTAAAAAAATCTTACAGTGAAATTATAGATTTTATGATATAAAGCTAGTACTTCCACAACACCAGCTTAATCTACAATAAAAAAACAATAAATTGGCTCAATCCCTACAAAATAACAAAAAAAAATGTTCTTTGCATTAATACACGTACCTACTCACATGACGTACAAAGACATTTTTTCATTGCCAAGATCTGTATCAATGCATAGGAACACAGCTTTTCATGAATAAATTTCCATGCAAGTCACGCAGACGTATCTCACGGCTTTCCGATAGAGCCCGGACTGCAACCAGCCAGTACACAAGCTTAGCGTGGATGCCGTCTCCTGCATTCAAACGTAGAACTAATAAGAAATCATCGTTCTAATGTTTATTTATCGGAGTTGAGGAAAATGTATTGCGCATTGTTTCTTTTTATAACGTTAAATCTGCTTCGATATTCGAATAGAACTCTATAAATCGAAATTTATACTTACGGCTGATGCTGCTGATGGATTCCGAGATAATCTTACGAGTGTGGGAGAACCATGCATCGGCACGAATTGGGCTGCTCCACCGGAGTGATACCACGGCCTCACGAAAAACCGGCGTGAAGCATCACCACAGCTTTCTGTTTCGCCGTGTCAGTAAAGGTTCCGCAGGCCCAATACTTTTATCCCCCGCTTCCACCCCTCTCCGATCCGTGAAGCCTCATAACCCAAAACCCTATACCGCCTTTAACGCACTTATAACTACTCAGAAGCTGCGGGTGACCATGAGTGGTGCCGATTGCTTATCATCAGGTAATTCGTCTATCGTTTGCCGTTGTATCACATAAAAACATTCAAAATTCATCATTAGACTAACATAATTTCTTTGTATACAAAATCAAGTAAGTATACCTAATAAGCATTATCCGATTTCATTCAATCCATTTCGACTTGATCATCATCTACTTACGAGCTTTAAGTAGTTTATCAACTACTTACTTGAGTGGCTTTTACGTGTTCCTTGAAATAATTCCAGGTGTGCTTCATGTTTTCTATCAATCCAAAATCAATAAAGCATCTAGAACGATAAGTTGCATATTAAGTTGAATTTATACAGGGTAAAGTCCTGTTACTTATATATGCAATATGCATTAGGTAATTACACATTTTTGTCACCATTTTATAAGTACCTACTTGGAAAGCACATAGGTGTATATCATACAATTTACGATCTATATTCAAATTTATCATTTCATCAGACATTGTGAAGCAGGTCCATTATCGTATCGATTTAATTTATAAGAATACTATTTATATTTATACCTACTTACATAATGCGAAGCTTTTGCTGCATAGGTTTCATGGTGAGCCTCTCTCATAGCTCGAAAGTTATCGAGCACTCTCAAATATTTACGTGAATAAGCTGTAACACAATCTCAATATTTTTTATGTACTTAATCCTTATAAATGTCACCATGTCTATCGCTTTGAATTAAATTAGTTTCACGTAGATAAGACTAGTTAGTACGTATCTCACCTACCTAAATTAAACGTTCAAAATTAATTAAAGTCAGTTAAACCACAAATTGCGAAACTGTTTCTAAAACATTCCTTTAATTGAACCACAGCATTCTCGAGTTTATCATAATTAATCACAGGGAACGAACAAATTAATAGGTTGCCCAAGTCTGTGTGCACCAAAGCTTCGCTGAAACGAACATGTACGGAATCTACGTCTTAAGAAAAGGTGCAAATTCAATTTGTATTTCGCTACTCTTCGTATTCCTATTTCAAAAGGTATATTGCAAACAATTTCGAATTGAAAATGTGTGTAGCTAAAACAGACTTGAAATTCTAGCGAATTGTAGGAAAACACTTTTATTTATTATGTTTCTTTATGAAGTTAATGTCCAAAATCTTTGTATTTTCCTTCTAATGACAGCTTTAAGTACACAAGTCCCCAACATGTTGTCAGAATGTATTCTCTTTTCAACGTCAAAATTAAAAATGGGTGGTCCCATCCGTATCCAAGACCACACATCAACAAATTACTCACTTTTTCAAACCTACAAGTAATGCAATTGAAATAAATGGCCGGGCGCGGTACCAGGCTTGCATAAAAAGTTAGGACAGTTACAAAGCGGGCAAAGCTCACATGTGTCGGAATCGCGAGGGACGACGACGCGACGTTTTGTTTATTTGTCGTCTATTTGTCCCACTCGACGCGTTTCCAAGATCGTGTTTACTGATATCGACACGTGTACCGCTTTTGTTTTATTTCACTTGCTTGCATGATAGTAACATAAAATTGGAATGGGAATTAACGCGGTTCAGATTGCTTCGTAATCTTACAATCTCGCAGATGGCAGATATTATCTAGCTTTAAGTAATTAAATTAATAGACAAGAATGCCTAGAAACATTCAGTACACTATTAGTTCCTGTGAACGTTAATCGTCTCCTTGCACTTACGTTACAGTGAAAGCGCACATAAATGTTAAGTAAATGTTATTTATGCTATCATTAAACCTTAACTACCAATAACTGAGACATAACTGGTAAATATTCCCAGTCTAGATACTTACTCTATGAGATTCTTAACGTGTTACAATATTCACATTTTACGAACAAGCACTAGGAAGCTAGGAGCTAGGAACGCTTCATATTTCCATAATATTTCATAGTGCTGTATAAGTTATTTTTATGCAAAAATATAGCCAACAACGTGGTGGCGTGACATTGACGAATGAGCTCAACACGGTGCCTCAAATGGCGCCCGTCCACCGTTTCGCTCAATTTCCTATCCCACTCCATGGAATGGCGGCATGGCGGTTATTTAATCTAATTAACGCTATCCGGTCCCAAATAAAACTTAATATCAAAGAGCTAAATGTTTACCGGGATAACCACATGAGAAGATGGCGATTATTTGATGTCAACATTATTTTATATGTGGTTTGTAGGTAAATGTGCGCATGGATCTTTGAATCTACTAGCACTGATGTGTAGTTGTATAGAACATCGTTATTTTTATGGCAGCCCTGTAAGTCATGTAAATGCATGATACCGCAAACCGATTAAAGAAAACCACTCCACTGAAGTCCTATCAATTGATTCTATCGCGTTAGGAAGCGCCGAGAATTCAATATACCTTGACCTGAAAAAACACCTGAAGAAAGGTAGGTAGCTACCTTTCTTTATACTCAAAGCCGATAGAAAATAAAAAAATAACACCCAAAGTATCGAAATATCTCTAAAAACTATTATAAAATTATGAAAACAGGCGACCAATGAAACTATTTGCCGATAAACTTCTCGTCTCGTCTCCATTTATGCTTTACCTACTTACTTATCGAGCTGTCTACCTACTATATGGTCTATATGTATACTTACCTACTAGATAGCTTTTATACAATAATCATTACATACATAAAAGGCACCAAGATTTACGTAATTTTGGAACAATGAGTCTCCCATAAATAACAACGGAATTCCCATTCACGTCTGAGACCACAAAGAAAGTTGTCAATACCAGGGTCAATGAATATTGAGTGTATAAGTTTCAATGTATTGTCCATTTGACCTAAAATATTAGAACTATCTCCGTATCTCGAACAACACAATCGTATTCCTGGAATTATTTCCTTGATATGTACTGTTACTTGTGTGTTTATTTAATGTGCCTAGGAACGATATAGCATCATTAATTATTATGTTTTCGGCTTACTTACGTAATAATTTGACGAGATACTCGACTAGTTTCAAGCCATGCTAGAGTCGAGTCGAAACTCGAGTCGAGTATCTCGTCAAATTATTACGTAAGTAAGCCGAAAACATAACAATTAATTTAGAATGTCTCACGAAAGTTATAATAAAGATATACTTAGCATCATGATTTTTTACGATCGCCAGTGAGTGTACCAGAGTCCTAATCGCCACCCCTTCCCCATCCTCAATCCTCAAATCACATATCCTTAAATCCCTTTTAATACACAAGAGGCCGGCAAAGCACTTGTAGTAACTAAATTGGTATTATACTACGAGTGCCAATCGGCGGCGCTGATTGCTTACCATCAGGTAATCCGTCTGCTCGTTCGCTAACTTAAGACATAAAAAAATACATCTATTGCGTAAATCATAACCAGATCCGGATTAAAATCACACAGAAAATAAGTAAACGAGCTAGCTTTTGTTACTTAGGTACAATCTAACGGACCGGAGCCACA